ATATATATATATATATATATATATTTATATATATATATATATATATATATATATATATATATATATTTCACATAACAGATGTATATGTATAATTATACTTAATTCTACTGAACAGAGATTTTTTAATTTTTAAAGGTCTAGATTAACTTTGTATGAGAAGTAGTATAAATCTACTCTTATTTCATTTTTTGGGTAAATTATGGCCAACTCATGAGGTAAGGTCAAATTACAAAATACCCTTTCATATTTGAGTAATTACAACTATTCCCTTCAACTATGTATTTTCTTACAAACAAACCCCCTCCATCAGTTGGCAAATTCGGCATTGTAATTTGTAAGGGTCGACAATGCATAGTTGGAGGTGGTTATAATTACCCAAACAAGAAGGGTGTTTTCGTAATTTGATCTTACCTCAGGGTGGCCGTAATTTCCCCTTTTCGTTTTTCTCTACACAAAACACCCTCTCATCCATTGCCACTCACTTTTGTATGGACTTTCAGTTCGAGGTGCAAAAGAGGAATATTTTTCATTACAATAAAATCGTGTATGTGTAGAGAAAAATAAAACATTACAATAAAGTCGAATGATCGAATAAAGTAGGAATACAAAAACGATTATGTACTGATGAAAACAGAAGGCGTAAAAAATCGACGAGACCTCAAGCTCCTGCTGTATGTGAATGTTGCATCCGCTATTTCCCGTTTTCGAAGCTCCCGAATCTTGCTCTGCAGTAAAGACCATCAACGGCTTAGAACTACTACTATTCGAACGCAGGCCTTCTAGAAGAAGCAGTTGCGAGGAATCAAAGTTGCCAAGAATCTCACTGATAATATCAAAATGTACGGCTTTTTCACTTCTTTTCGTCTTCTTGCATATGGTATCAATAGTACCATCTGTCGTGTGTGACCTTGACCTTTTAACCGACAGGTGTCTCTCTCCGATTGGTTTAGAGGGGCGGACCCCACCAGGGAAGACGAAAGTAGGTATCTCTTTTCGCTTTATATGGAATACTTGAATCGACATGCGTTCCTTCCACGATGCGTATTCGTATACGTCGTAATTTATAAATTCATCAACTGTTGTTCTTAAATCGACTTGTAATTGGTTTTCCTTAGGATTAGCACTCCCTTGTTTCCGTTGCAAGCCCATGAAATAGTTGTGCTGAAATGGCTTCGATTTCTCCGAAAATTCACCGGGGTGTGGATGACATTGTACCATCCCGTTCGTGTCCCTTTCAATCTGGAAATAATCAATCAAATTAAACCCCAAACAAAAAAAAAAATTTAAAGGGGCAACGTGCAAATAGAACACTCAGTTTCGGCGAATAAACCATCAGAATTTGGCTATTGGGGATACGTGCAACAAAATTAACATTAAAGAGCAGTTCAACTAACTTTCAAGGTAAGCAAGCGGATCCTAGACTCGACCCATCCTTTCCAATTCAACAAGTCAACGCCATCCTTTGCCGCTATGTCGATCTGAAGATAATTTCTGTACGCCTCGAAAAACGCAAACGGCTCAAACAGAGAATCCCAGCAGCTACCCTTGCTTACTTCTATGGCCTACAATTGCAATTCGACCCATTTTAATTCAACCACCACAAAACTATACATCCATCCTGAGATAAACACAATGAATCGCAGCAAAAACGCAAACAATTACCTTACATATTTCATTCCCCCTGTGAAACTCTTGTACCATGAATTGCAATGTACTAGCTGAAACGTTGTAGCTAGAGTTCATGGACGGATATGCCGGAGTTATTATTGGCATGCGATGCAATTTATCCATGCAATTCGTTCGAGGGTCCCAAATTTGAAGTCCTAAAGATCCTTCTTCAACTGGACACAACATAACAGGAAGTGGCCACCGCCATTGATCGTACACTCTGAAGAAGCGAGTGACCAACATGCTAGGTATAGCATTTGGATACATCTGGCAAACTCGGGCCACGAGCAATGCTAAATTAATACCACCTAGGAATCCGGACACCTGCAAAGTGAAATCGAGCGTTTAGAATAACAGAAAGACTTCTATCCAGAAATTAAAAAAATTAAAAAAAAGTTTAGTGTTTTGCTCACATTTGAATAGATCCCACGTTGCTTCGCCCACAACCTCATGCATTTTAGGGCAGTACAAAATATCTAAAAAACACGATAAAAATATAATTTAGAAACCATTTAAGAAAAAAATATTATATTATAAATTTAGAAACCATTTAAGAAAAAAATATTATATTATATTCAGCTTGGAATTGCGGTATTCGGACCTTAACATTTGGCACGAGGCGCAGTATAAGATCAGTGACTCTACAGCCATTGAGACTACGAACAGTCTTCGGATCCACGTTTTGCAGTATAGAATCTTGTGAAATATCCAAGTCCTAAAAACCAAATAAAATTACCAATTATATAATATTTCAAATCGAATTTGATGTACAATAAAACGGACAAAGATAATGAAAGTCGGAAACAAAAGAGGGTTCGTACTTCAGGAATACAGGAGAGGGACACATTTGCGTATAGTAGATCGATGGAAACGCCGTTAAACTTGAATTTCATCACTGGAACATAAGCCTCGGTTATAGGATGCAGCTCTTCTACTTCAGGCATCTCTGACAGCATCTTCTGAAGTCCGCCGAAGAAATCTTCCTGCATTTATTACAAGGTTATATACAAATTCATCAACCATCAAGAATCAACTGTTGAAAAAAGATTTCAGATATTAATTGAGAAAGTAAGCCTTACACTACGGCTCGCGTAATTTGGTCCGACGCACAATGTATCAATATCAGCACCAGGCCCATGCACCTATATATTTACATTCAAGAAGAGATACAAAGTCAATCCTCATCAATCAGAAGAAAAATCAAGAAAACAATTTCACTCAAAAGGAAGAAGAGGACAAAATTCTTACACCGAGTCGGTAAGAGCCAAAGGTGAAAAGCTTTGCGTTCGCCTCAGCAACTATTGATTCACTATAACCTTTCGAACGACAAATGTTCTTCACCCACATCTTCACAATCTGCAAGGTAGTAGATAAGTAATTCATAATTCAACCACTTTTAAATAAAAAAAAAAAAAAGTATATTTCTGAAAGTACAAATAGATAACCTGGTCCAATCTACCAAGAACTTCCACTCTTTTAGAAGATTCTTCCCGACTCTCAAATACTCCCGTCTTTTTAAGAAACTAACCAATACCAAAAAAAACTTTTAATCAAATTACGCAATTATCTGATTCATATAACTCCCAGTACAATTTTTGTCACCACTACAATTTTCTGACAAAGGAAAAAATAAATTAAAACAACTAACCTTTTCCAACTCCAGATTCTCAAGGAGATCTAATTCATCGGGGCTGCTCCTTGAAACTGGCTGCCATATATCGATATCGGTAGCCATCAATTTTGAACACTGACAAAAGAAAACAAAAAAGCATATAAATCAGGGAATGTGTAAAGAGCACATGATGATATTTCTATGAAAATTTAATTTGACTTAACGATAAAATTTAATCGTTGTCATTAAAATAACTCTTTCAGCTGAGATGATATCACTGTGTGTGTGCATGTGGTTAAGGTTGTCCACGTTATCATTGCCAACATACTATTTCGAATATATTATTATATTGCTAATTATCTTGTTAGTTTCAGCACTTACTAATTTGGGTATAACTAACTAGTCTTGCTTGCAACTGGCTAGGATCCTGTCTAGTGTGTGGTTTATGTAATTAGTTTCGGTTTTCGATTTTGGTTTTCGGTTTTCGGCTTCGATTGATGGCAATTAAAAATAAAGGGTAGATGAACTTTGCTTTTTATGCGGATCACCATCTCAACAAGAAAAACACGAAAACTTGAAGGAGAATAAACGTGCTTATCAAACAAAATCCCACCATACTAAATTTCTAGTTCTGGTAAAAACAGACGACTGAGTATAATATACATACCTCATTCACAAAAATACGAACGAGAATACAAGGAAATCAGAAATATAATGAAACCCTAAAATTGAAGATGAATTAGATCGGGAAAAAACAGAGAACCATCCACAGTTACGTTACCTGTCGTTCTTCGTTCTTCGTTCTTCGTTCTTCTTTCTTCTTTCTTCCCTCTTCTCTCTCGTAAAATCTTTCTCTGTGATATAAATCTTCTTTGTTCTTTCTTCCCTCTTCTCTCTCGTAAAATCTTTCTCTATGATATAAATCTTCTTTGTTCTTTCTTCTCTCTTCTCTCTCGTAAAATCTCTCTCTATGATATAAATCTTCTTTCTTCTTTCTTCCCTCTTCTCTCTTCTCTCTCGTAAAATCTCTCTCTAATATAAAATTATCATTCTACTATTTTCTTCTCCCTACACCAATCCCCATTCTCGTTTTTTTTTTCTTTTTTTCTAAATTATTAATTGTTGATTGTTTATAACTATTTTTTTTTAAATATTTTTTTAACATTTTTTTTCTTGTCAAGTATTTTAATTGACTATGATATTAATAGACTAAAGCATAATCGATTAACGAACTGACTACTAGCATCATGGTTGAATTATGAAATTTATTACGAAAAGTAACAAAAACAACGGTAGTTCTGTCAATAAAACCCAACACGATTCAACAAAAGAATCCAAATAATAACCAACCGAACCAAATAACAAAAACGACTAAAAAAAATGAAAATCAACTATATTTTACGAAACAAAAAATATATAAAAAGTGTAAGGCTGCGGCTATATGCAAGACTAATTCCACTTGTGCAAGATCAAATTAAAATTTTCAATGTATAAATACTATAATATCCTTATTTATTAAAAAAATAAAAAATTCCAAATATGCAAGACCAAAAATTCAAAAACACAAAAAACCCTATCACAAGACCACAAAACCACAATACCAACTATCATCTTCTCCATCTTCCAAAACTCACAAGACCTTTCTCCTTCCTCCTCCATTAACCCACAAAACCTAGAAATTCAAAATCATCAAAACTCAACAAATCTTACATAGATGGCAAGTATGGAGTCAGAAGACATCAAAATAGAAGATTCTACGATGGAAGAACCAAAAAATGTATGCATTTATAGGTTTTTTTTAGCTAGAATATCGATTTTCCAAAAAAAAATCCCGCGCAAACGAATTCGACATGTACATGTCGAATTTTACAGGTAAAAATCGACATTTAGATGTCGATTTTGAGGTATAAAATTCGACATTTAGATGTCGATTTTGAGGTATAAAATTCGACATTTGAATTTGTGCTACAAATTCGACATGTCAATGTCGATTTTTACCTATGAAATTCGACGCTTAAGTGTCGATTTGTAGCATAGTTTTTCGACACCTTGGTGTCGATTTTTGTTTTTTTCTCATTATTTGTATTTGGTCTTACATGAGAAAAAAAAGCCAATTTAATTTATGGGCATACTTGTCATTCCATCTTAATAAAATAGAATCTTTTGGAATCTTTCTTTAATTTGGTCTTGCACAAGTGGAATGAGTATTGCATATAGCCGCAGCCAAAGTGTAATTGATTTATACAAATCGGATGATGGATTGATAATGGCGGAACAAAAATACACTACCGCTATGCCCCAGTCCAACTATGTGTGGCAAATTAAAGAAAGAATAAACAAAAATTCAAAAAATAACTAAAAAACGTATTTGATTAACCATAATCAATTATTGAAACATAGTCGATTACTCTTAATCGACTACTAAACATAGTTGATTAAGGATTCAACGTCCGTGAACTTCCTCCGTCATCCGCAGACTCTACCCAAGAAACCTTAGATCGGCTCCCCATCATCACTTTACCGTCGCCACACCACACCATCACCATCCCCACACCATCAACACTGTCCGCCGAGGGGAATGGGGGCTGAGCCAAGAAGCGTCGAGATCTTGGTTAAAAAAACATTCAGAGAGAGAAGATAATCAGCATGGGCTTCGCCGAAGGCAAAACGCTGTCGTACGACTGTTGTCGAAAATCTGCTTGAAATAAATTTGTCGAAGCGAGTTGTCTATGTCCTTAAGACAAAATTCTCCCGCAACGGTGCTAAAAGTTTGAACGGAAATCATTTGACAATATACAACGGCAAAAACTTGGAATAGGAGCACGACGAACTGTACTTTGTGTAGAACTTTTCGGGAGAATCTGGAAAGGGCAGGCTAGAAATGCCGAAGGAAGAAAAGGATTTCGGACTGAAGTAAGGAATTATGGGAAAACGGGGGTCTATTTATAATATTTGAAAAGTAGTGTCATTTGGAGCAAAAGATCGGTTGCACCATTTCGAGTTGAGTCGATTGGTTTGCACTGGTTCGGCCTCACCAATTCAAACCAATTGGACCGTTTGAGATGGGCTTCGGGTAAGGAGAATCCAATGGGTTGTCAGCCTATTTCCTAATGTTTTAAGCCCGACTCCAAATTCTAAGCACGATGAACTGTACTTTGTGTAGAACTTTTCGAGAGAATCTGGAAAGGGTAGGCTAGAAATGCCGAAGGAAGAAAAGGATTTCGGATTGAAGTAAGGAATTATGAGAAAACGGGGGTCTATTTATAATATTTGAAAAGTAGTGTCATTTGGAGCAAAAGATCGGTTGCACCATTTCGAGTTGAGTCGATTGGTTTGCACTGGTTCGGCCTCACCAATTCAAACCAATTGGACCGTTTGAGATGGGCTTCGGATAAGGAGAATCCAATGGGTTATCGGCCCATTTCCTGATGTTTAAATCCCGAAAAATTAATATAGTGCTTTGGGCCCAGGCCCAAATCCAAATCCAAATACAAATCCGAACGAGCCGGTCGGACAGACAGCGCGCGCGCGTGGGCATGATTCGAAACTCATAACATATAGGCATTTGTCCAAAACAAAGTTGTATGCCCAAAGAGCTCGACCCTTAGGTCCAACATCGACTCATAACTTCACTACTTTTTCAATGTGGGATAGCTCAAAATCCCGCTTTCCTTATTTCAATATATTTTGGACTAATATTTTCATTCACCACAAATTGGTTTCTATATATTAATTTAATCCAAATGTTGATTTAAATAATCAAATATACCATACATTAATATTGATCAAAAGTTATTCATGACTCAACTTTTAACCAATTTTCTCATCAATCCCACACATAAATGAAAACGAGGGCATCGATTCTCTCTAGAGTTCCCACGAATAATATTGCATCGGGATATGTAGCTTATAGCTTTGAACCTTCCGTAGTGGAATTACATCGGATTTACTAGGCTGATTAGTGAACGTGATGTCTTCAACTGTCAGCCGTTCATGTAAACCAAGACAATGCAACCCACACAATACTAACCTCAGATGATTGTGTCCGTTTTGGCCCTGGACACACATCTTGGATTCATAATTGTTTGTCAAATTCTGAAGCGGCCCTCACTTCATACACTTACATAGGTGATCTCCTATTAAAGGTAGCCTGCCAATACCTCACTTTTTTTAAAAGGTTTTGGAATCATTAAAATCATGTGCTTATCCTTTACCATTTTTGCATGTAGCACTATTATCTTTCGCGCGAATGAGTTCCTTATTGCTCGACTGAACTTTCTTAGCTTAGTTGTCCCTTTTGAACCAGTTCTTGGGATCTCCAATCAGCATGGTTGGGTTACCACTGAGAATGTCCTTAATTGATGGGTTTTAATCTCATTCCCCTAGATAGGTATTGTAGTTGATCTCTTGGTAAACCTTTAGTCAATGGATCTGCCAAATTTTCTTTAGACTTTACATAGTCTTTTGAAATTACTCCATTTGAGATCAATTGCCTTATGGTATTGTATCGACGACAAATGTGTCTAGACTTACCATTATACGTGTTGTTTTATTCCCTTCCAATTGATGATTGACTATCGCAATGTATCATTATTGTCGGCACTGATTTATCCAATACGAAATATCCTCTAGAAAATTACGAAGCCATTCCGCTTCTTCTATAGTTTTACGAAGCCATTTCGTAATTTGATCTTTCGACTTTCGGAAGTTTTACAGTGTGTTCTTGTTCCACGACATAAAAGTCATGCTAACGAGGTCCAAATATTGTTTCTTTTACTATATAATAAAGCTTATTTTCTTGCCAATTTTTTTTATTTATTTTCTTATTTTTTATAGCGTAAATTACACCCACACCCCTGAGGTATTCTTAAATAACTTTAAGGTCCATGTGGTATCGATAATTACACTCACCCCCTTGAAACATAGTTATAAACTCTAAGGGGATAATGCATTGGATACGTTATTACGATAAAGTTCTAACGGACTATTGGTTTCAGGGAGTGGTGGAGACAATAAAGAGTTATGGGTGATTTAAGAAATATTGGGGGAGCCATGTCACCCCATAACTCCCCATAACTCTATGTTATTTCCACCACTAGATAAAAGTAATAGTCCATTAGAACCCTACGGAATAATATATCCAATGCATTATCCCGTTAGAGTTTCTAACTACGTTTCAGGGGGTGAGTGTAATTATCGATACCACAGAGACCTTAAAGTTATTTAGGCATACCTCAAGGGTGTGGGTGTAATTTACCCTTTTTTATATTATAAATAGTACATATCATATGCATGAGACATAAATAATAACTATAAATATTTATAAAATTCATTTACTGAATTTTAGCTCATTATTATTTTATTTTATAAATATTTAATCACAACTAATATTACAAACAATATATTTTAGGATTTTTTGAATATTTAACTAAAAGAGATATATCTTATATGTAAAAGAAAGAAACGCTCGGCAACCCTAAAAAAATCCCAATGGTATTTCTGTAATTATTATTTTTAATATTTTTCTGTACTAATTTTCAACAATTATCAATCTCCTATTTTTCATCAATATATTTCAAATCTTAATATATAAAGATAGAAATTCGATTTGTTAAATCTATACCTATATATTTGGATAATAAATCTTAATATGTAAGATTTAAAAAAAACTAATGTTATATAAAATATGAGTAATACTATATTATTAAATTTTATTATGTTAATGTACTATATTTTCTTATCATGTATTAAATTGATTTTTTTTCACTTTTGAAACAATATCCCGTGCATTGCACGGGAAAAAAATGTTAGTTTATATATAAAAGTAAGAAATGCTAGTGTAATCTAAAAAAACCCTAGTGGCTTATTTGTATTTTTTTAAAGGGGTCATTAGCAATAAACCCCTCATATAGATAATAAATGGTGATATGTCCAACCCTTAAATCTTTCTTTGTGATAACCCCCTAGAATTTGTATTTCCAATTCTACCCTTATGTCAATTAACATAATTAGTCTCAATTATTCCTTTTTTCACTCTTTCCATAACAATAATCTAATTCCTAAAAATCTACTTCCAAATTTCTAAAAATTTGCTACCAAATCAAAAAATAGGATTTTTTTTGTATTATTTTCGGATTTTATAGCCACTTTTTTATTATTTATTATTTTTTAATATTTTTTTAATAAAAAAAATATATTTTTTTAATTTTTTTTAAACAAAAATTTGATTTTTTTTTCTCGACAGATTTACAACTCCGAATATGACTATAGTTGAATATGGCTATTATGTGACCACGCTGTGTATAATAGTGTAATTAACATATTGTAGAAGCATAATTATTAATATAACAGTAAGAATATGACTACTATGTGAATGTGACTGTGCTTTGTAAAACATTATAATTAACAGACAGTAGAAACATGAATATGACTATTATGTGACTACAATTTGTATAACATACTGAACATGATAGTGGGAATATGACTATTATGTGACTAGCAACTGCGTAATGTGACTACAAGTAATCAGCACTTGAAAAAACTTGCAATATTAACAGCAAAATACATTGCAAAAAGAAAAAAAATGACTATGAAAAAACGAAAATAACTAATGTGATCCTTCAACAATGGCCATCGAACATGTTTTTTTGTTGCGGTATCCAACTCGGTTGCACCGACTGCACTTAATCTTCCGTTTGATCTTCTCTGTTAAATATGACTACACTGTTGAACATATGCAGCACCACAAAAAAAAAAAAAAACAAATATAACTAAGTTGTTAAACATGACTACTCTGTAAAATACATTGCACCACAACCGACTAATCTCGTAATTCAATAGATTTTCCAGATCTAAACATTCAGGATATGTAGAATAACACAAAAATTAATAAAATCAAGAATAATTGAAAATCAATGTATTCGTTCATAACAAACAAATAATAGAACTAAAAATCCAGATCCATAACATATTCTATTGCTAGTTCGACAATCAATTCGAGAAAAATAAAAAATAAAATTTACCAATTAATATAGTATATATTGGTATTCCGCGTTGAGAGAAGGGAAATCTCCATATAGAAATCCGACGGAGGCAGCGACAAGGTGGGGGAGGCGCTGCCGCCAATTGTACCAGGCGTCGATGTGGTGGTGTTCGACGAGGGGGGAGACGATCTCCAACATCGGCGGAGAAGGGCCTCCTGCAACGGGTTTCGGCGGCGGCGTTTGAAGGGTGACTCCGGCGGCGGCGGTCTACAGATGTGAAGAAGAAGGAAAAAGAAAAAAAAAAAAGAAAAAAAAAAAAAAAAAAAAGAAAGCTGTAAACAGAGAGAAATAGCGAGAGAATGAAAGAGAGAGAGGCGAGAACCGAGAGAATGAAATTGAGGGAGAAATAAAATTGTATATATTAAAAACCTAACACATAGGGGCACTTTAGTCTTATCATGGCTGGTAAGGGGGGTCTCACTAATTTAGATTGGAATGTGGGTTATGGGAAAAGTCTTTAAAGTCAATTGGGTTTAGTTCAAAATATTTTCTAAATGAGGAGTGTATTGCATATTTTCCCTTTTTTAAATTAATTATTGTTATTATTTTTTTCTCCAATGAGAGTTGGTTCTTTGTGGGTATCAAGTCTGAGTCCGCTACCTTACCAGGCCGTTGAGTTACCATAATTTACATTACTCCATTAAATACTTGTCGGGCCAATGGATGGGGACCCTGAGAGTGAGGAATTTCGTCTTTTGGTACAAGATTTGCAAATCATTTAGCAAACTCATAATCCACTCCAATATTTTTACTTTTTTTCTTTTCTTTTTTTTTGACGTTTTGCAATTTGTTTTTAAATATGTCTTTCTCTCTCTTACTCACATCAATGTGAATTTTGTTTTATTATACTTACCAGTAATTGTACCCGTGCGTTGCACGGGCATATTCCAAAATGGGAAAACTAATTCTTTTAAATACATAATAATAATTAAAGGTTTACATATTCAAAAGCATTTGATAGCTATTACTAAAAACTTAAAAAAATCTAAGGACTTGTAAGACAATACATAGTTGAGGGGTGATTGTAATTATGCAAACAAGATGAGTTTTATCGTAATTATACCTTACATCAGGAGTGGCCGTAATTTACCCTATAGATAAATTTTCTTCCTTCATCGGAGGGGAAGAATTGCTAGTTATAAATAATATTAGTATCCTACAAGTGAAATATAAATAAAAATATATTTTTATAATGTTAATTTATTGATTTTTTGCTAATTGTTGTAATTTGGTTAGATTTAAGTAATTACTTACAAAACTCATTATACTGTATTATATACATAAAAGACGACCAGATTCAGAATCATCTCCGTATTTGAAATAAAATACCAGTCATAGAAAAAGAAACACATGGAAAGTAAAACAAATAAAAGATGGCAGTACTATGGACAGACAAAATCTTGTTTAATTCATGCAGTATCTTCCCTAATAAACCAAAGTCTATAACTCAATTTATTTGAAATAAAAGAGATACTAACACAACCATGCAGACTTCGAATAAAAACACAGTTGCATGTATCCCAATGCATCGAATTTTTTAAAGAAACGAAAACACACTCTGAAAACCAAGAAACGCATTCTCTTTCTTAACCTCTCCTGCCATTCCCAGTGAACAAAACTGTCTTTTCTCCGAACTTGGAGAAGAGAACAGCTTAGTGACATCACTTTCACCAGAGGTGATGTCGTTCTTCGCCATGGATATACGAACCGACGGCCCCTTCCTTTGCGTGTGAGAGATACGACAATCCAAACTTGATTCTGTGGAATCAGCCGGGAAATTCCTACCCTTTTTCCTTACATGTTCGAAAATTGTTTCTTCGGACAATTTTCCTGATTCAATATTCTGATGCTCAGTAACTTGTTTAACGCCTTCTCCGCCCCACATTTCTTCAAAAAACTCATCTCCTGCGAATAATTCTGTAAAGGAAGGTTAATAAAATCAAATAGCAGGCACAAGTTAATTTGTGATCAATGAATGCTCACCTGCGTCATTCGTGAGATAAGAGTAGTCATTAGAGCTCTTAGGTATCTCTGTCGGACCATCTTCGTCAATAATGTGTATCTTTCGTTTTGGATCTGTAATTTCAGGGTATTGAGTAGCCATCCTGGTTCGTCGAATTTTACTGCTCTGCTGTACTTCCATAATGTCCATGTTATCGAGTTCGAGATGCCTCTCGCGAGTGCGTTGTCTGATGAGTGTGAAGTCCTCTAATGATGGGGAATGCGTATCTTTGGACGTGGGCAGAACGGGTAATGTCTTTGACTTTTTCCGAATGTGGTCAAACACTGTCCTTTCAGTTATAATTCTGCAGTCATCATCATCTTCAGTCTCGACAACAGGTTTGTCTTCAACATTAGAAAAATAAACAGCAGCCGTGAGTGGTTTGGAGGACAAGAGAAAAATTAGGACCAGAGAAAAATTAGTTGTTTACCATCTTCCGAATCTTCATCAATAAGTTTGAAGCTGGGCCTGAACATGAAAAGTTTAAGGTCGATTGTATAAGATTCATAATTGTTTAAAATTTCAGCATCAAGCATAATGAATTTATTATATAATCAAAACAGCTGATGGTTTTTAGTTAGGGAGAGCATACATGGAAATTGACTTCTCTATCAAGTCGTTGTACTGATATTCTTCGGAAGGTGGAACAGAAATAACATCGTTATCATTTTTCTTGATAACATCCTTCGGATTAAAGGAGGGGAGCTCCTTCGGTCTATATTTGTGAATGACGTTTAAGTCGATTGGTGGTGTGACGATAACTTTATGACAGAGATCCATTCCAACTGAAATAACATCACAAAAAAAAATTAGATGATCCTCACCCAGCAATAAAAGATGGAATATATAAATATATAGGAGAGAACTTAAGAAAGGACTTACTCATTTCTTCAAATATCAGATGTGCCTTAATTGTCAGCTTTCCCTGCTGAGGGCTTGAAAATAACACTGTTGCATGATAAGGGCTGCAATAAAATTCATAATTCAAGCGCATGAGCTTCAAATACGCAAATACCGGGCATATATTTCACCAGCATGTCCATTATGTACTTGAGAACAAAAGTAAATTGGGATTTTTAACCCATCAAATTTAGGATTGAGATCAGTTTCGATACCTTGAGAAATCCTCCAATCTGGACAACGAGAAAAGGATTTTTCAGAAACGACAAAGGCAGCATACGAATCAAGAATCTAAGATGTGTATCAGTGCCGGGATCAAAATACAAACCATTTATTGTACCTTATTTTTTCTTTAAACAGAATGAGGTTATCTTCTTCTACACCGACCATCTGCAAGATAAACAATTTCACTTGCACAACTTTACAAAATGAAAACCTGGAAAATTCAAAACTAAAATTGATATGCTAATATTATGAAAAGATTAAGACTGGAACGTTGGTTCTTAGCTTACCATATCAGCATAATGTCTTTTAGTTAACTGCACCGGCTCTGATAACCTAGTTAACGTTATCAGTAGCTTAGACTTCCCCATCCGTTGTCCCTCAGTTTCCTCAATTACCATCTTAACTTTTGGGGGTAGCGAAAGCAACGACTCCTTGATATGGTTCCCAAACGGATATTTTCTACCCGTCACCAACTCTATCTTTCTTGGATCAGCTTCAGAGAGGGTCTCAAATGATGTTACCCCCATCGAATGCAGTGCCTAGACAGTATATTAACAGTTTCAAAAAAAGAAAGAAAACATTAAGATCTCTTCACAGAAGGCACTCAGATCTTCAAAGTATTTAAAGTTCAAGAAACACCACCTTTGCGGTCACCATTCCGATGCCTGGTAATTGTTTTAGCAAGTATGGGCTATTATCCCATAACTTCTGATGTAAACAGTTGGCTAGTAGTGTTGCATTCAAAGCTCCTTTGTAGCTCTTCTTATACATGAAATACTCTTTCATGCACTTCGCAATTCTAGACCCATTTGAGCATATGGAATTCGTGTCCTATAGCATAACACTTCCAGTCATAGTTTAACAAATAAATTTGAATATTGAAAATACCATAAATCTTAAAACATTTGCGGAGTGGTATTGAAACCTGGCTCATGGATAAGTCATGCACTAAAGGATCCCCAGTCAAGCAGTCATTCACCAGAACAAATATTTTATCTTCTCTAGTTTGGATGCGCTTTTTCCGCTTTCCTTTATCATCAAGGACGTGAAAGCGAAGCCGGCCATCTTTTTCATTATTTATGTCATTTAGGAACTTCTTTTCATTCCGTCTCAGCTGTATCCCTTCATTATTAGATATATGACATAAATCATCAAAATTTCATAGGTTAAGAGAAAGTATTAACTTGAATCACAATTACATGCAATTTCTTCTGCCCGACATATAATATGAAGTGTCTCTTCCATGCTGCAGTTTTCAGGGGCTTGTATAATGTGCTTCATTGTGTCAAACTTCAGATAGTACTTCGTCATCAAGTTTCCTGGCTCTGAACATGAAAAAATAATCAGTCCTATTCTACATTATAATCAGAAAAATATGGCAACAGATGGATGATATACCAAGTGGCTTCAAGAAGAAACCATCTTCATCAGTCCAGACCATCTGATATTGCGACAATTCGTTTACTTTATGTACACAGATCTCTGGCATGGCATACAAAACCGTATCAGGGTATGCTACAACAAGGATCAATATATGGGCATAACTGTTAGAGTTACCTTGCAAATGTTTCTCTATTCGATCACTCGACAGCCCTTTCGCAATTGAATAGTGTTCGGGATTCTGATTGTTGCATGAAAACTTTCAGAAATGCAATCCAGTGAAGGAATACAGAAAGTATGTCTTTCCAATAGGCTAAAAGACATGCCTTTTTCATTCTCACATACAAGTATGAACATTTCATCCATTCAATCGCCCTAGTTATATCTGAGACAGTTGATTGAACTATCTCTGCAGTAAGGTGTTCTGTAACGCATGGAAGCAATCTGGAGAGAAGCAAACCAAAAAAACGAAAATCATTTGAGGTGTTACATGTGGACTTCACTTTATACGAGGCAAAAAGAAAAAGAGAGGTCAATGGGCATACTGTGATTCCACCATTTCACATCCACTTAATAAATTCTCATACAAATGGACCTGAGACATTATTACGTGGTCATAAGCAAGCAGTTTATTCATATTCCATCTGCTTTTATTTTGAGAGAGAGAGAGAGAGAGAGAGAGTGTGTGTGTGTATATACTGTTTCTCTTCTGGTCATAATTATGACCATCCCCGTGTCATCAAATGGAGGACGACCTGCTCTTCCACACATCTACATAAATTACAGGCAGTTATTATTTCAATAGACGAGGCCCTCAAGTGATAAGATCATAATTGCCTAGATGTCCCATAAAAATTGGTCCCATGTTTACGACAATTATACTACCAACCAAAGTCTTAAAACAACTCATGTCTGTTGTCTGTCATATTATCAGTTTTTTTTTCTTTTCAAAATGCTGTAGAAAATAGTTACGCACCTGTAATACCATAGATCGCTCATATTCCATGTAGATTCCTTTCTCCTTGTTGCTAGCACAAAATCAGAGATCAGAGCACAATAAGTTTGTTTAGAATTCCAATAGTTTTTTTATCACCTCCAAGGCAACAAATAAGAGATACTTCAGTAATATAGACAAATGGAAAAGATAGTCAAGCAATGAACTCATGATAACGCTGCTAGTGTACTAGATTTTCTTCACCAGTTTATTGCTCACATAAATCCATACCTTCTGATCGTAATATAACCAAAAACATCTGGATATCTAGCTTGTTTGCACACTGAGTACGCATATTAGGACTTAGATATGTACTAGGCAATAAATCTGAGACATACAAATATTGTGTTGACTTGATGACGACAGTATGCGCCGGTAGATTAATTCCGTGTGCAAGAGTATTTGTGGTGCACAATATTTGAAGATCGCCATTCAGAAAAAGGCCTTCAATGAGGTTGCGATCCTTCATAGAAAGCCCGCCATTATGATATCCAACTGCACAAGAAACAATTAACAGATTTCAAGCAGACACTTTTATTCAGAGTTACTCCTTCCAACTTTACATCCAGTCATGACCCCCCACCATTACATTGAACTGGAAAGAAGGATCTTATACCTCCATAAATTATGTAAGACTGCATTTGTTTGTCGCCACATGATAATGACGCTTCCCTTAACCTTTCCTGCTGTTCTCTGCTTTTGATGAAAGGGCTTGAATGACCAAAAGTCATTGCAATCTGAGTGAGTCGTTGTGCTGCTTCTTGTGCTCCTTTTCTGGTCGAACAAAAGATCAAGGCAGATTTTCCTCCAGAAAATTGTGTGAGAAGGTCTGCAGATTAATAACTTAAGCTTAATGTGTAGCTATGGCCATTAAAATACTACACCAGTAAACTAACTAGAGATAGATTTGATTCGATAACTGAACATGCGATTTTCAGGCTTACCAAAAATGTAGTTCTGAAGACGCTGAATAATTAAAACAAAGAGTTAATCATTAGGATATGTGAAAATAAAACTATATATTGTGAATTATGTATTATTGAGCATACCTTTTCAAATAAGAAGTCATTTTTTGCTGGTGTGTACCCTGCAAGCAACATTTATTTACTCTGTCTTAAGGGAAATAGTTCTAAGCTTCTATAGATATCATATGTTCAATTATATATAGATAAAATTGCTGTACATCATCTGGTAACTTCTCATAAGCAGTAATATCAATGGAACTAATGTTGCAGTAACTTATGCGTACCAAAAACTTTAGTAGTCAACTTTACAGGTCTCATTTCTTCTCCGAATCTGCAAACAGAACAGTGTAAAGAATTTCTCAAAGACTGGCAATGAGATCAGTTCCATACTTACCCAGTAAAAGATTTGAGCGTACCTTTTAATCCCCTGAGGTGGAGCCATTAGCCACTCCGCTGCGAAAAGTAAAATATGGTAAACTATCAACCATTATCACAAAATACAGAAATTTCAGAATGTCAACAACTTTAATCAAGCAAATGGTGAGGATTACCCAGGTCATTGATATTTGGGATAGTAGCAGAAACAGCTAGGAAACGAACAAGGGATAAAGCACATGATTGCATTTCAGGATTGCGAGAAAGCATTTTAATTCTGCTGACTATTGCTTCTAGTGCCGCTCCTCGAGGATCGTTGAGCAAATGAACTTCATCAATAAGCACCAAAGAAATATCACTGAAGAAGCTCAAGCCTCCATCTTTTATGCGATAACGAGTCACAGCATCAAACTTCTGTAGTACCAAAGACCAGGTCTAAGCAAGGATAAGATCATTCGAAAATTAAAGAATAAGTCTCCTGGCTAAATAACCTCAGGTGTTGTAAGAATAATGTCAGCATCTTGTATACTCTTGATAGTGTAGTACTCATTATCACCCGTTAGCTCGAGGCAGTTTATTCCTAGCGATCCAAGCTTCTTAGTCCAATCCCGGAGCTTCTCTTGTACCAAGGCCTTTGAAGGCGCGATGTAGATCTTCAGGACATAGTACAGTTACGAGTAAGCAACTAAAGGAAAAATATAAGGATGAAATTGCATCAATAGCAGCATATCCTCTTTGATGTACAGTATGATAAATTTTTGCAACTGATAAGACCCAGGATTTTCAGATAACATATCCCCTTAAAAATGAAGTATAAAAGTATGATCGGGTTCCGTATAACAATAAGTGAGCAAAGGCTTTTCTATTTACTCTAAAAAAAATACCACTGTATAGATATCGTATTATTGACGTCAATACTACTGCAGGGTTCTAGATTTCTCCACTGTCTAAAGAACAAAATACAGTAGCTATTTACTATAACCAGCATAACTAAGAAATTTATGGTTTGTCCAGAAATAATATACACATCATTTTGTTTCACAAGTAATTATCATCCGAAACCTACTGTTTTAAGAGTCCCCTTATGATGGGTGAATCTTCCATCACCCGTGATGAACTTGGAGAAGAGCCTCATAATGCATAACTCAAATAGTACGGTTTTTCCACTCCCGGTTGGTGCTGAAATAACCATGTTTACATCCGAAAGGTAGCAAGTGGAAAAGCATTCACTCTGCAACGAGTTGAAGTACCTGCATCCATATTGAAAATATATATTTGACTAACATTTCACTTCTTCACTAAAAATCACAGGAACTATCTAACGAAAAATTATAGAGGTTAGCTACCGCTTAAAATGGTATTATCAGCAGAGGTCATAAAAATTTATCAGTTCCCTTCGAATGGGAACCTCTCTGGATGTTGTACTTTGGCCTAACAAGAAACAAAATCAATTTACATTGTCTGCACTTGTAGAAGAGCATCATTAACAATTTCTTGGGCCGCAAAATAAAAGTCTACCATTGCTAAAACCATTCATTATCTTGCCTCTTGGGAGCTTAGAAAAGCTAAGCTCATAACAAACTAAATTGTTTCTTTTCCCTTTAGTCGAGGTATAACCATCTTCATGTCTCGTCGACCAAAGTTATATGCTAATTGTGGTATTACAAAAAAAAACTTTATACATAAGTACCTGAAACTAAAAGCTGAGCGAAAAGGAGCCGGTAAGTCGGTCACTGCCTTCAGTGCGTAGGTATCCATACGTAAACTCATACAACGAAAAAACTGAAAATGAACAAAGTCTATCAGTAAATTGATACAATTACCACAGCGTTGATATGCTTTATAAGGATGTCAAACAGTAAGGAGCAAATTAGCGGATACGAGATGAATTCATCCGGAAAAAAAACCGTAAAATTAGTTCAACAGCTTCTATGTGCACTAAATTTTGCCGCTCTATGATCAGTAATTCAATTCAAGCCATTTCAGAAAATTACCAAATCGTAAGCAACACTGGATGCATATATTAAGCAAAATTTAGGAGGGATAGATAAATACATTTAGTTATCAATTACAAATTTCTTATACAGAAATTTCATTTTTAAAAAAAACGCAGCTAAAGCTAGCCATGGATGCAATAAACAGTGAGAAGAGGTGTCAGAGATGATCCAAAAACAAAAGGCATGTTTAACTTATCGGATTAAACAGATACAGCAAAAATTGATCGCTCGTACTATGAAGAAATTTCCTGAACACGCAGTTTTCCCAAAATTGAGAAGAATACCTTGATTAATCACAAGTAATCATTCAAAATCTCGCCGCTACTGAAATTTATTATTCGCTGTCGCCTGTCAGCGTGTGCTTATGTGCGTGTGTGTGTGCGCGCGCATGTGTGTGCGTTCGTGTGTGTTGAGAGAGAGAGAGAGAGGGAGCAGTGTAGTATCAAGTATGATCAGTGATGTTTAAAAAAAACGTTCAGTTTATTTCTTAATTTTCAAATACATAAAATGATCAATTACGAAAAAGCCCCTAAACTTAGGCCAAATTACGAAGAAAAAAAAAAAACCTACCCCACGTTTGTTTTTGTTTTACACCAATACTCTTATGGTATGATTTTTCACGAAATTGTTTTGACTCAATGAAATATTTTTCAAAAAATATCGATTCGATCATTCCTGACGTGGCATTTCATTATACTACTTTTGAAAGACAAAAATTACATTTAGGGGACCTTTAAAATGTTTAATCTTCTTAAATAGCACATTCATAGTGTTGGAGTCTTACCATCACCTCTCTAAGAATATTTTTTTTACTTTAAAAAGTCGCATAAAGAAATGCCTCGTCTACAGGTGTAGAATTAGCATTTTTCATGAAATATGCTCTAGTATCAAAAACATTTCGTGAAAAAACATACCGTAAGAGGGTCGATATAAGACGGAAACAAACGTTGGAGGGTTTTAATAATCACGGATAGATGCGGATATTTTTCATAATTTAACCTAAATTGATGAGGATTTCGTAATTTACCACTTAAAATGACATAAACCCTTTGCTAATGCTTTAACATATGAAGCATTTCAATGTTACTACTGGAGTCACAGTTGGACCGTTTCAATAGGGTCCAACCCGTTTTTTTCATTTTTTACTTTATAATTATTTATGCATGATTTTTATAGTAATAAAGCATATTTTCTTTCATACACCTTAAGTCATTACTCATTTCCAATTAAAATATAAATCAAACTTATTTTACTTTTACACACACAACATATCAACATAAGTCATTACTCATTTCCAATTAAAATATAAAACAAACTTATTTTACTTTTACACACACAACATATATCAACACACATACCACATCAAATCATTTCAAATAATATAGAAACTATAATAAAAAATAACACGCCATCCAATTTCAAAAAAATATATATATTGATTTAATTTTTTACAACTGGGCAGGTTTCAAAACACTGATTACAGCAACTATCTATTTCCCAACCCCAGCCCTAAATAGCCTGCATTTTTAAGACGAGCACTAACAAAAGTCTAAAAGTGATCAGATATGGTGCAAATCATGCACCAAACAGTCCCTTAAAACGAGCCCTCAAAAAAGTCTAGAAGTAATAAAACATGGTGCAAATTATGCACCCAACAGTCACACAATATGATCTGAAGGATCACAAAAATATAATAAACAAGATCATGTTCTTTCAGCCCCTCAAAATATCTCGGCACAGAGCCGAAACTTCAACTAAACGATACCAAGGCATCATCATCAAAATTCAAACAGATGTCGAAAGAGATATATCTGTAAAGAATGATCTATAAGAAAGTTAAATCTTGTTCTTTGCACCTACTTTAAAGATAATGTACATATGTGAGCTTATATTGCAAATAAAAAGAAAAAACAAAAGAACAGATACCAGTTTCATATGCTCTACCAACAATTAAGATTAGTTTTTCCAAGTATAAGTTGGAATATATGTAAATACAGTTTGGGCAGCCAAAATACACTACGAGATCTCAATTTGTGGCGGCGGTGCGTCCATCCCTCCTCAGCAATTCCTGTAAGACAAGACGAACATTTCAGAACGTCAGAAATTCCATTTCTGAAATGAAAATATCCTATTTTATTATTATTGGTCCCAACTATTTAAAAGAAAACGAAGATTGTAAATTAATAAGAACAAAGTTGCAGTAGTATACCAGTTTGGTCGCAGCGACAGACTGGTCTCTTCTTTCTTCTTTCTCACGTTTGCAGTGTCCACACCAGCTGGAGAAATCTTTTTGGTATTTCTTCATCTCCCTAAAAGCAGAACTGTTGGGCGAAGAATTAGAACTGGAAACGGAATTGGTGGAAAATCCCTTTTGCAACACAAGAATGACTTCAAAAAATCAATTATTCAAGGTTTAAACGGCAATCAGGGTAGCATAAAAAGTATTATTAACTCAATGCATGGCTTAAATTGTTTGCACATATTCAGCCAAAAATTCTAGATAGAGATTCACCACCAAACACCACTTTAATCACATCAAAGGTGCTGAAAAAGCACAAACCAAGCACGAGACACATGAACCCGACAAAAACCGCACAAAACAAAAACCGCACAAAACAACCACAATTTTGCAAAAAACGAGTACAAACCGCACAAACTCAGCACAAATCGCAAATATTTAAATCAAGTTGCAAATCTGGTAGTTAGGGCTTCGGATCTCGGGATTTTTTGATGAAATTGAAGAGAAAAAGGGTAGGGAACCAAGCTAGGTTTTACAGAATTTGTTTTTTTTTTTCTTTTTTTTAAACGTTGCATCTTAGTTCATATCGTATTGTATCTCGAAACATACGATACAATACAATACATAGCTATACATACCAATAAATGAACAAATTCTTAAGAGACAAAGGAGTGACATGTATAAAGCAAAGAAGAGAGGGTGTTATGTACCTTCTACACCATAGCAATAAGTTAATCCTATTGCCTGATGTGGTGGCTCTAGCTCCATGCCTATGCCTACCAGAATGAAGAACTGCATGCCCCGGAACATGCGCGTAGTCGAAGGACTCCTACAAAAGAGGCAATACAAAAATCAAATTCAGTAATATGAACCTACTAGACAGGCTAAAATTCTTCATTTAAGGAAGCTGCAGTTAGAACTACTCACGTTCATCTGCGTTTCTGTATTTACATGTTTATCACACCGCATGCCGCGGAAATACAGTTCACCGCCACAAAATTTTCTACCCAAGCAGACATTCAAGGTGACTTCCGAGTCATCCACATGGAAGCCTACAAAGATAAGCTTGTTAAGGTTAAACAACATCTTCATACCCCAAAAGAAATAAATAAATAAATAAAAATTAAACTGCTGGTCAAGTATAACTATAACCAATTTGTAGAAAAAAAACACTATCTTTACCAACATTGAAGCACTAGAAGTAAAACCATAAAATGGTTCCAATTCCCTGGTTAGGTTTACATTTCTCCCATCCTATAACCGTCTAGTCATAAAATTCAAACAGAAAATAATCCTCTCCATGCTTTTTGATGAAATTGAAGATTTACAACAAATAACACCCTTAAGCAACACTCAAATTGCACTGAATATGAGCATCGGTTTAACATATATTGCTCAACAAATAACACCCTCAAACAACACTCAGTAAGATTTACAACACTCGATATGAGCACTGAGTATGATTTACAAAAAATAACACCCTTAAACACTCAAATTGCACTGAATATGAGCATTGCTTTAACATAGATTGCTCAATCCAAACGGTACAGTAGTAGTTACCCAAATAGACGAAGTCTTTACAAATCATAAGTGTAGGATGATATGATACAGCAGTAGCATAGGACAAGAAAATAATAGTTCCATCCAGAAACAAATTAAGTACAGAAATACATAAAGAGATGCAAAATGGATGAAGAAAAACTTGGATATGGTGACTTACCAAGGTCGACATCTCGATCCATCCCATACTCGAGAACAAAACCGTGATGAGAATCAAGCGATGCTCCTCCAACGTGCTGAAAGCAAGCTGCAAAAGATATTTGGTAAAGAGGATTAACACTGAAACAAGCATTTACTCAACAGTTTCACATGTGTTCATACGTGTGAGCAAAATTCTCACCTTTTGAAATTGGGCGTATGAACTCTTCCATGAGAGTATTAAGCATGGTTTCCATGCCAAAATCATCAAGAACAGCACCATATTTATTCATTGTATTGGGTCTCATAATTCTGAACTTCGTCTCATGGACCCACTTCTCAAAATTTTCTACCTGAACATAATAAGAGGAAAATAAAGATAAAGTACTTGAAGGAACTAAGTTAGAACGCTGAATGCAAACTGAAATTAAAGAAACGACCTCTGCCATCAACATGTCACAGAATCTTGGCTGCAGCATCTCAAACGTGTAGATTCCCTCAGCGGGTTCATTCAGCCTTTTCTTCAAACTTTGCCCACTGTTCTCGTTGAGCAAGTTGATGAATGAGGGTACGAAAACGTTTTCAGCATGCATTTCATAAAGCTCGGTGTGTAGACGCTAAGAAACAAAGGAACTTGTCAATTGTTTGTTAGAATTTTGCACTAATTCTGCACTTACATGATGAACCATATAAGGAGAAAGAGAATGAGATGTAGATAATGATCACAGGTTAACAGTGACTATTGGATACCAATCACATCCTTCTCCCGTAAACCTATGTGTCAATGATATGTAAAAAAGGAAAGGAAAAGTTTGCAGCATGCATTTCATAAAACTCGGTGTGTAAATGATAAGAAACAAAGAAACTTGCCAATTCTCTGTTATAGTTCTGCACTAATTTTGCACTTACATGATGAAACCAGAAAAGGAGAAAGAAAATAAGATGTAGATAATGATCACACAGGTTAATAGTGACTGTTGGCTACCAATTACATCCTCCTATAAACCTAGGTGTAAATATATGATATGTAAAAAGGCGAACCTATTCTCCACCACATAAGCATGCATGTTTCTAGTCTATTACAGAGAAACAACTTAGAGTTGGTGCTTTAGATACCATGTGATACCAATTTATATAACATGTACTAAAACCTAAACCCTTTTCTGCATGCTTTATTCTCATTAATGAAAAAATAAAATGTAGAAAAATCAACATAAGTTTAAGGAGGCCATTTACAGTACAAGATGTCGCCTTTAATCTCCAGTGAGGCTATCTATTCCAATTAAGCACATGCTTTCAGAGTACTAAGGCTTGGTTCTAAGGGTCACTTGGACATCTGAGACATCATGAATATAACTCAAATCCACACCATCAAAAATGAAAAGTTACACAGAACCATACCTGATAGTTGGATATGATCTTCTGCCTGTATTCTCTATGCTTTTGAACCTGTTTAAACATGGTGGTAGTAAGTTCCCAATTGCATTGAATAATATGAGAATTTGTATATATACATATATGTGATGGAGTATTACATTGTATCATATGCTTTTACTCACACATGCTTCACACATACACACGCACAGAACAGTTTCTAATGGACAAAAACGAAGCATTGTACAGGAGAATACTTGAAACTAAAGCTTCTCATGGAGCCTGTAGGCACCCAATTTATAAACGTAAACCAATTATGAACTATTAACTTCACATGTATAATACCTAGCAAATGCATTCCCAGCCTCCCTCTAATTATGCCTTCTTCCAAACTCATATTTTTCCAGAAAATAAACAATCACATTTCTATATGCAAAATGATACACATAAAATACGACACTTGCATTTAAAAACTAAACTACCATCCAGCATGCTACCTTATCAACTAAAAGTTGAAGGGTTAATTGTGAATTTTAATTTCTGAAACAAAATTAAAACACTTAGTGCTGCTGGATGGTAGTTGAAATACAGAGTGACTCTGTTGCAGGAAATCATGGATTTTAAGTCTTTGAAAATATACTTTTGTTTTCAAAGGAGTAATAAATTGGTATAAAATTTAAGGCTTTAAAAACACCCGAAAAATCATTTAATAAGCAGTTTTGTTTTCTGTAAAGAATCAGCAACCTGATTTTCACCACAAAATTTTCCATCTTGGTACTGATGGACTTGGGTCCTCATTTAAATACAAGAGAATCCTCTCATTACAATCTTAACAATCTTATACCCCATGCATTGACGGTTGTACCTTACTCAAAATTTCAATAAATTAAAACCACGCAAACTCAGAGCTAATTTAGAACAAGATCTGCACAAAAGCACCACGTGCACTCGACAAACACAGATAAACCCAAATTGAAAACCCCACATGCAAAAATTTCACCCAACAATTACACAAATCCTACATGCAAATAGAGGGGAGAGCGAATTGGATGTACCCTAATTCGATCGCTTTGGGGGTAGTACCGGCGAAGAATCTCCCGCATGAAATTGACCTTCGTATCACGCGTCTGGAGGAGGAGCGGCGGCGGTAGATATCTCTCCAACGAGCTGAAGACCAACGGGCTGAAATCCAGCTCCAAATCCTCGTAATTATCGGGCTTGTGATCTGCACTCGGGTTCAGCCTCAGCCTGTGCGTCAAGTACGTCGGCAGCGGCGCGACGGCGCCGTTTTGCTGCCCTGGGCGATTGACGCTTCCGTTGGCTTGGCCCGGCTGAGCCCCGCCGTCTGCGTCGGTTCTCCCATCGCGTTGCCCTGCTGTATTTGCGCCGTTGAGATCCATCAGTGTATATGCAATTCCTTTTTGGTAGATCTTTTTGTGCAAAATGTGTGTGTTCAGAGGGGTAATTTGGGAATTAGATCTGCAACTTCTGCGGCGGATTAGGGTTTTTTTAGGTGAGGAAGGAGAAGAAGATGGTGGTGAAAAAAGCTAGGGTTTGGATGTTTAGGGTTGTAAGAAAAAAAATGCTGCCCAAGGTCAAATATAAAGCTCTTAATTTTGTTACATAGTATTACACGTTTTTGGTAGGTACGTTAAAACGTGGTTCTCGAAACGACGACTTTCGAAAAACACACAAACGGGATCCTTCGGGAACCTTACTGCGTTTATAGCACTCTTTATGTGAATATGATAAACGTGATATTTCGAATGACGTTTTTGGTAGGTATGTTAAAACGTGGTTCTCGAAACAACGACTTTCGAAAGACGCACAAACGTGATCCTTCGAGAACCCACTGCGCAATGAGATATCGCACGCTTTATGTGAATATAGTAAACGTGATTCTTCGAACGACGACTTTAAGAAATAAGTATAAGCGTTATCGTCTTTTGAACACGTGTTGCATAATTAATATAAAGCACGCTTTTTGTATGTATGGTAGTAACATTAAGATGAAAACGCGAGAATGCGTTTAATACTTAGCAACTCGTAGTATAATCGTGCACGTAGTTGTCTCTTAAAATGCGTACAAGTTATAGTACTACTAAAGATTACAAGTATTATCTCATTGACACCCATTCTATAGTTTGTTACACATATTTTCTTGAAATGTATCATTCTTACATTTCAATTCATGTAGTTGGACTTTCTTACATGTGCATGGCTAATTTTGATTTGAAATATTTTATTTAACCATTGTTTGACGTGAAAGAAATATACAAATGAAAATAACCATGCAGATATAATTAGTCACGTTCACTCGATTTATGTCAATGTTTAATTATGGGACCAGCACTTGGAAATTAAGGAAGTGTATATCAATATATAGCTTGGTAACTAGATCTATATTTTATTAATTTATTTATGGTAACTAGATCTATATATCTTTCTGCTGGAAGAAGTAGAAGCCAACCCTATTGAGAGCAATCATTACGTGTAATTATGGCACATAACAAAATCTATGTAAAATTATAAATAATTTACATCAAGCAAGATCGATATAAAATTACCATTTGAGGAAAATAAGCTCAATAATATTAAGGGTAAAATACACTTTACTCCCTTTTATTATGTCATATTTAACATTTATTCCATTGTACTATGAAAAATACATTTACCATCTGAACTTAACGGCTAACCTATTTTATAACTAACAGTGTTAGTAGAATTATTTTTTAAGTGGTGGAATGTATAGTTGAAGGGTATAATTGAGAACATATAAAATGGTGGAGAGGGATGAAAAATGAAGTGAAGCCTAAATAGTCAAGTCCCTCGAGTAACCAATTGTATCACTTTATCCAGTTTAACGACACATTCTAAAATGTACTAGCACAATAAATTGAAACAATAGCTTCACCTTTATTTTCGTCTACTAATATATCACTTAAAATTTTGCTATAGTCTTTATTTCAATAATTAGTCCAATTCCATCTTAATTGTAATTTCTTTTTAAATTATAAATCATCTTTTTTTATGTTGTATCTAAATCAACACACCATACTATTAAAATAAAAGATTAAAGCAATTAATATAAATACAAATTCTCATAAAATGTCAAAATGCTATTTTATTAACTGGATGATAAAGTTGTGTAGACATAAGTAAAACATTTAGGCCTTCCTTGATGTTTGGTTGGTAATTTAATACTACTCGAGTCCGCTATTAAAATTGAAGCCCACAATTAAGTGCTATTACGTCATGAAATTAGTAACACATCTACCCTATGCGATTGATTTTGTAGGGGGTGACTAAATCGAGAAATTGTAATTTTATCCTTAAAACAATAATTTAATTTTGTTAAATAAATTTTTTTATAGATAATTCACGTATAATAACAAAATCTAACAAATTTTATACAACATGTAAACTAAGGAACCAGATATATTATTAACTACTTAATTACTTAATAGTGTGAAATTAATACGATCTAATCTAATTCGGTCTAATTCAACATACGTTAGCAAATGAGGCCTAATCTACTATATCAACAATGACTAAAAAAAGTTGTAGCCTATGGTAAAGTTAAGGGGTAATATGCTAAGAGTCCCTTAAATGAAACCTAATTTGAACTAAATGACAACCTTAAATTCAATATATCTTTTAATCAAATCCCTATTTTGAAATAATATATGACCCACATCCCTAATTTTTATTTTATCACTAGTTTGCCCTTATACCCTAAATATAATATCCCACGTTTATTCAACTAATCAGTTTTTATCCCTAGGAAAAAATTAAAAATATTGGTTGGAAAAATAAAAATATATTTAATGCACGAGGGCATTTTTGGAATGATTTTTATAAAGGATGTGTAGCAAATGTTTAGTTAAGGTTGCCATTTAGTTCTAATAAGGTTTGTCACTAGAAACCTATATCTTAAGGCCCCTAAAATTAAATATGGTTCATGTTTAGGACTTGTAGCTAATTATTCTATAAAATAGAAAATTCTCACCGGAAATAAAGAATAAATGAGTCTATTAAGGTCTATTAGGATAGAGAGATTTGGAGGGGGTTTGGATAGAGGGATTTGAACGAATTTCAAATCTACATTCATTACTTTTAGTTGTTTTTTGAACAAGGGGAGTGCTAAATCCCGCACTGAAACTTTCAAAAAGTACGCACATAAATTACAACGTTTCTCTCTCTAAAATCATAAAATTCTCTCTCTACCTCTATTCTTTATCACTTCTTTTCTTTAGGGAATTATCTCAAAATCACTAAAAAATAAGAACGAATTCAATATTATTTTTGTACGACGATCCTCTTAAACCAGATTTATAATTTCAAGAATTCTCTTTAACATCTTTTATATAGTTTTAAATTATGAACATTTTTTAAATACTTTTTATAATTTATAAGTATTACTACAATAAAAGATTATCGAAACAGTAAATTTCATATCAAGTACTTTTAATATTAGAAAAACTGAACAGTAATTAACATTCGTTTAATAATTAAATAATTATTAACATTAATTAAATAAATAATTAAAAGAAAAATGAGGGAAAAAAAAAAACCTAACCCAGAGTACCTCAAACTCCGCTGCCCAGCAGCACCACCACCCAACTCACACCCCCACCCGACCGCACACACCTAGCCGTTGGTGCGTCTTCCATGGTTTTGTGTCTGATGTTTTTTTTTTTTTTTCTGATGCGTGACATGGTTTTGTGTGTGATTTGTGAAAATGAAAAGAGGCGAGGAAGGAGAAAATAAATATGAATTGTAGATGAATAAGTTTAGAAAGAGAAATATTTTTAATTATGTGCGTGATTCAATAATTTTAATGTGGGATTTAGTATTTCAGTTTGAACAATTGTTGTAAATTTCAAATAACTCCAAATTAAGATAATTTCAAATCGTTTCTCCAAATCAAATCCCTTTTAACTTCCTCCATCAAAATGGAGCCTTACATTATTACTCCATTCCGTTTTTTTCTAAATGCTATTTTACCAAGTAACATTGCGCATATCTTAAATATTATTTTAAATTTTCAAGGCAAAATTAATTATTATTTTTCAACTATACCATAATACTATGATACATTAATAAAGTGAGAAACTAATGTATATACATTTATTTAATATATAATTTTGTATATTGTTTGTGAAAATTAAATATTGTTCAATTTCTTTTTATTTATATGTAATATTATTAAAAATAATTATAAATAGTATTCCATGTTTTTAATTATTTTCTAGTCCTAAAATAATTTTAAATTTCAATTTTGACCTCAAAATGGTGATTTCCATTAGATGTGAACGAGCAGGTGACGACGCAGACCAAATATGTTTCAAATTGAACTTTTAATGTCTTTTGTTCGGTTTGAAACAATGGGGACCAAAAGTAGAATCAAGTTAAACATAAAGGACGAAAAGTGTAATGCTCCCCAACAATATATTATGAAGAAGGAATATATTTTTTTTTGATAGTTTATGAAGAAGGAAGTAATGGCTACAAAAAATGAAACTTGTACTAGCTCTAAAAAAATCTTGGTGTAATAGGAATTACGCAAATTGGAATTTTGTAGACATTTTAATTAATTTCGAATCATATAGCACAATTTTTTTCCCATAAAAAAATTTATGTAACACGCTCTTCTGTACCGTCGACAATCTGATAAGATATTCTACTACAAAAGGATCAAATTATTTCCTCGAGATTGCCCCCATCAACCCATTTGTACATTTCAACTATTAACTCTGTTTTTATGGGTCCGATTAGATATGGCAAACGTATGAGAAGGATCAATATATCTAGTCAGAATCAACATCTATATAGTTAGAGAAAAAACAAAGGGAAGAATAAGAAAAAAAAATAGGAAATTGACAAGATACATATGTAAAAGTACTCGCTGAAATAAAATTATATATGAAAAGACGAAATCATTATGTTAGCATGAGTTTGACAGCAATTGTTCACGTGGGGAGACTCATGTATGGGCGGCCCAAAATCGAACGTCGGTGGTGCTTGTGTGTGTTGAATACACTGCAATGCTAAAATTTGCGCATTGTCCAATATCAATTGATTTTATGACTAACTAGCTATGACAACTAAAACTTAAGAATTAAGAATAAAAAACGTGAGTTGATTCTATTACTATATGGTATATATATATGTTGATTGGAAATAAGAAGAAATAGAAAACCAAATTGTATATAATTGAAACTTGTGGGGGTGAAAACAACAAGTGCCAATAAGATGATGGACTACTAATCAATTTGTCAAAAAAACGCAGCCCCTCCCCAACAACAAACAACCCAAATGAAGGACAATAACGTAATTTCACAAAGAGCCTGATATAAAGACGTACAGCGAAGTCCTTGTTTGGTAGATCCGCCAGTCTGTTGTCCGTTTTTAGTTCTTATTATACTGTCAACTATTTCGGACTCTCCGATACAAAGGAAGAAGAAGAACACTTCTCTTTAATTCATAATAATAAAACCGATCCCCCTTTCTTCCAAACCCCAACATCAGATTTTTTTTTTTTTTTTTTACAGAGATGGCTTGCTCAACTTTTCTCAAATTGAACGCCCCCTCCTCCTCGTGGATCTCCGGCCACCACTCCGTCAATCTCAGCCCCGGATCGGCCGCGCGTTTCCCCACCCGCCGCCTCTCGGTCATCCGCGCCGGATCTTACACCGATGAGCTTATTAAAACTGCCGTAAGCCATTTTTTTTCCCTTTTTATAAGTGCGTGTATTTGTGTTTTTTTTTTTTTACTGTATTGTATTTTTATTTTTTAATCCATGGTTTGCATGCTCTTTTGGTACTTAGATCTCATGATCGAGTTGCTTTTGATTTAATTTTGGTTGATTTATTTTAGATATAGTGCTTTGCAGTCTAAAAACAGCATTATGATTTTTTGAATACTCCTCTTGAATTTGGGGAGTTTATTTATTTATTTATTTATTATTTCATTTTAGAAATTGTGGAGTTTATTTTCTTCCATTGCTAAAATTTGTTGAGAGAATTGAATTTGTAATTTGTATAATAAATGGCAAATTTCGTACTTATATGATTCTGAGGTCATGATTCACGCTGCTGTACAATGGCACATCATGCTTTCTAATAAATATTATTGTTGACTGCAACAGTTGATTCTTTAATCATATTTCGATCCCACTTCCAGTTTTATTCTAAATTAATCGGAAAGTGGGTTTGATTAGGCTCTAATCACGTGCTTAAGCACTATTCTTTTGGTTGGTGAGCATTGAGATATTTTATAGCCACCTTATTTATTACAATAAACTATATAAAATTACGTGTTTGAATTTTATAACGACGTAGCTGTAGTAACATAGTACAGAACTCGATAAAATCCATTTTTGTTTTGCTGCACTTTATTACAATTCAGTGTCAATTGATTTCTGGTTCGTTTATGTTGTGAGTAGAAATCAATTGCATCACCGGGTAGGGGAATCCTTGCAATCGATGAATCAAATGCGACGTGTGGAAAGAGATTGGCTTCCATTGGACTTGACAACACGGAAACAAACAGACAGGCTTATAGACAACTTCTGTTGACCACTCCTGGTCTGGGAGAATACATTTCCGGTTCCATTCTCTTCGAAGAGACGCTTTATCAGTCAACCACTGACGGAAAGACGTTTGTTGACTGTTTGCGCGACGAGAATATCGTGCCCGGTATCAAAGTTGATAAGGTGAGTTTAAAATAAAGTTATTTTTTTCCCAATCTTTTAACACATTAAACTTCCATTAATTTATTTTTTTTCCTATCTTTTTCTTATTTTATAGGGTTTGGTTCCACTACCAGGTTCGAACGATGAATCTTGGTGCCAGGGATTAGACGGATTGGCTTCTAGATCTGCCGAGTACTACAAACAAGGGGCTCGTTTTGCCAAATGGTTTGCTATGTTTTTCTTCTTAAAAATAATTTATATTTGTTTTATTTGTTATTAACTTTGGATTACTTACCATTTTTTTCTACCTTTGCATTGAAATATTTTTTTAGGAGAACTGTTGTGAGCATACCCTGCGGGCCTTCTGCTTTAGCTGTTAAAGAAGCAGCTTGGGGTCTTGCTCGTTATGCTGCAATTTCTCAGGTATCTACTTTTAAACTTCCCACACCATTCTTGCCCTTTCCTTCTCTTAGGCCTCGTTTGGTTTCTAAGATAAGATTAGCCAAGTTAAGAAAAATAGTCTTATAAAAACCCAATTATATTGTTAGTTCATTGGAGGTATAATAAATTTTCTCCCAATTAGTCAAGATTATAGCCATTTTCTCCACAACTGTGAACTGGACCAGAAAGTTATTAGCCTAACCAAACATCCAACGTGGGTAATCTTGACCAACCAAATGAGGCCTTAGGATACGGTTGACTTGTTTCCTTACAATAAAAACTGGAGAATACGACTTTTTTCCTTACACAGAGTCGGTTACTTTTTATATTTATATTATTCAGGACAATGGGCTTGTTCCGATTGTGGAACCGGAGATTCTTCTGGATGGGGACCACCCAATCGAGAGGACACTTGAGGTGGCGGAGAAAGTGTGGGCAGAGGTGTTTTACTACTTGGCGGAGAACAACGTTACCTTTGAAGGCATACTGCTTAAACCTAGCATGGTTACACCTGGTGCTGAACACAAAGAGAAGGCTTCTCCAGATACAATTGCCAATTATACCCTCACCATGCTTCGAAGAAGAGTACCTCCTGCAGTTCCAGGAATCATGGTAATAGCTCGTCGAATAAAATCTAATATGAGAAAAGTTTGTTTATTTCTTCAAGGTGAATTTTTTTCTTACAAACTGTTTTTTTTGTCTGATTTTTTTAGTTCTTGTCTGGAGGGCAATCGGAAGTGGAGGCAACATTGAACCTTAACGCAATGAACCAAAGTCCTAACCCATGGCACGTGTCTTTCTCGTACGCACGAGCATTGCAGAACACTGTGCTGAAGAAATGGCAAGGTCGCCCCGAAAATGTACAAGCAGCGCAGATTGCACTTTTGGTGCGTGCAAAGGCAAACTCGTTGGCAAATCTCGGAAAGTACTCTGCTGAGGGCGAGAGCGAGGAGGCTAAAAAGGGTATGTTTGTCAAGGGCTACACATACTAAACTCCGTTTCTCTATTTTTCTTTTTGGGTGGCGCTGATTGGATTTAGCTGCAAGAGCCCTTTTTCCTTTTACCATTTTTCGGTGTCGCCTCTTTCTTGTTTAAAATCAAATGGTTCTTGAATAATGAAACTAATAAGTTGTGATGAGTGGGATTTAAGGTTGAGGTAGTGATGAGAGATTATTGTACCATTTTGAATTTGATATTTTTTATGCAGTATAACTTAATGGCAGAGTGAAACTCAGTAACTTTGTGCATCTAAATGTAAGGTTTATATCTACATCCTTTAGCAACTCAATTTGATTCCGAAAATTTGTCATCCAAAGGAGTTATCAATATGAAGTTGCATTTTGATAGAGTGCAAAGATATATCTATGATAGAGTGCAAAGATACATTTTAGATAAAGAGGTATCAATATTCAATAATATCAAATGTCCCTAAAAAAATAATAATAAAGATATAACATATACTCCCTCGGGTACACGATATTGGTTACTTTTAAGAATTTTTTTTTTTTTTTTTTTTATATTATTTGTCACTTTAGAATTCCAACACTACATTTAATTATGCCATTATTAACCCTTTAACATTTTCTCTCCATTAATTAATAAATAAAGGTGTTTTCAATTTTGGTGTAACAATAGGTCAATATCTATTTTCCTAGAATCAAAACATATTTATTGAGTTTGTTAAGATTTACACAAATGTGAAAAACAACTACTGTTTAGAAACGGAGGGAGTATCAAATAGGAATGGTAATGGAGCGGGTTTTGCAATTCCTGCACTGCTGTAGAATTCTTCATCCTCATCCCCGTAATCCCTGAATTTTATGATACCCGTGGGTACCTGCCCGCAAAATCCCTTATATATATATATATATATAATTTAAAGACTTAATTCAAAAAATAAATCAACAAATGAAAATTTTAAATTCAAATCTCATACAAAATTCCATAAATTAAAAATATGCATCTCATTTGACATTTTTATGATTACCTAGGAAAGTAAAAAGTAAATAAAATAGGGGCTTTAAGATATAGGTACCTAGACAAAATTAATTATTAGAACTAAATGACAAGTCTAACTAAACAATTGTTTCACATCATTTATAAATTTCATTCAAAAAATGCCCCCATATACAAAAAATGAAATATGCACCAAGTAATATTTAAACTGCATTTATAATTTTTTTCATTCTGCATTTAACATTTTTATTTTCGCATCTAGAATTTTCGTTATTATTATTTTTTTCGTAGAACAATTTTTTTTTTCATTTTCGTACTTTTTCCTTTTTTTTCTACATAATATTGAAAATTGTGATTTTTTAATTTTTTTTCAGCCGTAGTCTTCTATATAAACCCGTAGGAAACCGTAGTAGTCCGTAGTCATGTATAGACACTCGTAGGAAACTGTAGTAATCCATAGTCATGTATTCTTAAAACCCTAATTCCTCATTTGAACCTTAGCGCCGCCCCCCGCCGCTGCCCTCATGACCAACGCCGCCGCCGCCGCCTCCAACACCATAGTCGATTCCATCGTCACAGCCACCACCCCCTCTCAAATCATGGGATGGAGTGTGGAGAGAGAGATATCTTGAGATTGAGAGAAATAAATCGAGAGAGCAAGACAGAGAAAGCCAGAGAGAGAGCGAGACAGAAATAACGAGAGGGAGAGAAGAAGAATAAAGAGGAAAAATAGATCTGAGAAGAAACATGAATATGTGGGTTATAAGATTAGGATGCAAGGGCAAGATAGGGATTAAAAAAAATAAGAATATGAGTCATATATTATTTCAATATAAGGATTTAATTAAAAAATTGGATTTAGACTTGTCATTTAGTTCAAATTGAGTTTCGTATGAGGGACTCCTAGCATATTACCCCAATAAAATAATATAATTAAAACAGTAACGTGCGAGTTAATACAAGTCAACGTATGCGATTGACGGAGCACAAGCATGCACACATTTGTAGTTATGTGTGTGGAAACAAATCTGTATGCGTTATCGTGTGTAAACATATTATTACCGTGAATTGAGTTTTTGGACCCTTGAATCATCATATTTTGAAATATTATGAGTAGAATATTAAAATATAAACATACGCAATACTAATTACCAGTTTAAATAAATTATGATTTAAATTTTATAAGTTATTACAAAAACTTACAAATTACTAGTTTATTATCAGTATCTTATTAATAAAAGTAAGGTAGCTCCTGGTAAACCTTATGGAATTTTTCCCGCTCATAAGTTATAATTGTCATTTATTTTATTGTTTTATTTTATTTAATATAATCAAGTTTAATAAATCTGTTAAGAATCCAAACTTTTTGGCCACAAATTTGCGTATGTTTTCCCACTAAAATTGTCATTTTACTTAATATTAATTTTATGGGAAAATTATTTAATTGTTTAGAAAAATATTTGGTTCTTATTTTATTAATAAAAGCAAGGTTGTTGCTCGTGATAAACTTTTGAGATTTAATGGCATCATTGATTTATAGTAAATTTGTTGAGGTTGTTATGGGTGATAGAGAAGAAGATTCGTCGAACTTCTACCTTATATAATATAAATATACAACCATATGACATCAAAAACATAAAGTTAAATTCATAAATATGGTTTATAGATGGGGGATTATCATCAATGCATGTAGCAAAAATCAGAATGAATTGAAACTTCAATTTATCGTTTAAATAGAACTTTACTTTTGTATCAATTTTACTTCATTCTCGTGCATCGCACGAGCCAAAAATCTAGTTACAATAACTTACAGATTACTAGTTTATTTAACTTTGGATTGCATGACGAGTCAATAATGCAAATGCTATTTGTGTATGAAAAATATTCATGTCGCAGGATTCTTTGTCAATCCATACAAATGAATCGTGTTGATAAAAGAAATATGCCCAGCGACATACATTACGCGCCATCAATGAGTCCCATATGTTATGAGAAAGTATATCTTCCAAATTTATATCCGTGCTCAAGTTCCACAACTTCTTTCCGAACAATTTCTTATAAAACAAAAGCCTACAAAAATCATAAATGTAAGTTTTTCAACAAAATTAGCGATATATAAAAGAATTTTGCAGTACGAAAAATAAGGAATTACAATGGTTTGAACAACTTCTATGTAAATAGCAAAATCGTTAAACATTATTATTTTATTATCTTGTTTAAAAATTTAATAAAATGGGTAGAAGACCAAATACACTATTCATTCACAAAATAGAGTAAAATTGTATAATAATTTAATTACAGATGAGAGATAAGTTAATTTTTTTCACCATAAAAAATATGATTTAGAGAAAAAATGGTAGTAACATTCGAAATATTGAAGTCAACTATGAAAATTCAATCCAAAGAAGAAATTAGCTAATGTATGACGTGGGCGTCGTGTCAGTATCCATTATCTGCACGTGCGCCTCACGAGACTTGGCTCCGATCATCTCTTTTGTGCCTCTGTTCCATAGATAAACCCAACAACCCCCGCCGCCGCCGCCGCCGTGAAACCCCCCCCCGCTCAGCAGCATCCGAATTGACCCGACCCGATCAACCAACACCGTGCGAGCGTATATTCACGCGTTGCATGAGCAACCTACATCTCCAATTCTCCCCATACATTATTTCTTTCTCCAAAACCCTAAAACCTCATCCCCCAACCCAACCGCCGCCGCCGCGCCGCCTGCTCTTCAGAATGAAAGACCGCCCCCGTACACCGTACGAAGGGGTCTACGTACCTCCCCACAACCGCCTCCGCTCTGTAATCACCACTGCCTCCGCCGCCATAGATTCCAAGCATACAAGTGTAACCACTCTCACTGAAGCTGAAAACCGGAGCTCGTTTACCACTCCAACCGTCAATAGCAACTGTAAGAGTAATTCAGTTAATTCGTATCCTTACTTGCCGCAGCAAAAGGAAATTTCGCGGCCTGAGGAGGTGGCCCAGCAAGGCTTCGACCCTGAATTCAAGTTTTCGGCGCAACATGTATGTTTGATATATAGATACGTATCATGTTTTCTTTTGTTAATTTTGGGTTTATGAATGCATTGCAGTTTTTAATTGATGATGAATCTTACTTGTGCATTGGAATTATCTTACTATTAGGATGAGATTGGGTTGGGGCAGCAAAAAATGATGATAACTGTAGTTGAATGTTCTTTTCATTGTTTATCATCTGCTTATGGTTGAAATTTGTAACTTGAAAACGGTCATGCATACAGTTTCTACCGATTAATTGCTGTCAAGTCCCATTGAGTCGATATTTTTCCTGATTCTCTCTTGTCATCTCTAACTTCTTCCTTTAGTCAAAGAAATAAATTCATCGTTCTTTTGATGCGAGTGAAAAACAAATGTTGTTGATAAGGACAATGATGTGCCGAGTTATGGGACAAGTTGTTGTCAGAACTAGTGACAAAGTGATTAGGATTTAAGAAAACAAGTTCGGAATAAATACCGATCCTTGTGCTTTGATGAGTAACCAAATAATCTTGTGACAAACTGCATATCTGGTTTAGCATATATGGCCACGAAATTACCCAGTTATAGATGAAGGGTAGAGTGGATTTATCTCGAAAAAGATGGGACACTTAATCCTCAACTGATATATTACTGGCAGAAACAATAGTCAGATGAATCTGACTGGGTTAATTTCTCATGTGTAATTCCGTCATGTTATCTTACAGTTTGGGTCATATATCGGAAATTCACAGCTCAACAATGTTAAAACTTGCAACATCACTTGTTTAGATTGTTATTTTTTCAATGGATGGGAATGCAATATGCTGATAAATGTCTATATGGTTTTTATCAGAACACGGCTTATTATGTTTTCGATTTATAGCTTCAGGTTTGACTAGGATGTTGTCTACTTGTTTTAGTGGGTGTTATTGTTGATATATTTCTTTTGATATACATGTTTGGGTCTGTAGCTATTGTTTTTGCGTAACATTCTAGTACAACCATTTTATATTTTCTTGAATTTCTGTCTGAATTTCAGGGTGAAGCTTCTTCAGATAATATTATTGAATGGAAATGGAAGTTAAATACACTTTTGCACAGTAGGGATAATCAAGAGATAGTATCAAGAGAGAAAAAGGATAGACGTGATTTTGCGCAAATAGCAGCTTTAGCAAGCAAAATGGGTTTATACAGGTATCTTTGGCATGAATTGTATTCAAGTCCTCTCCTCTTGTATACATTTGATGTTAACTTTAAGATACATTTATTTGCAGCCACCTATATGTGAAGGTAGTTGTTGTCAGTAAAGTTCCATTGCCCAACTATCGTTTCGATCTTGATGACAAGCGTCCTCAGAGGGAGGTATATTTTCTTGTGATCCTTCACGCATTGTTCTATCATCAACATTAGCTGCTTTACTCTTTGAATTTTCTAGGTCATCTTAATGATCCGTTTCATTTTTCATATAATATTAGCACTGTGATTCAATCCCTAGGTCCTTGGGACTTTTTCATCAAATACTAGCTTTGCTCATCATTATTTTGAAGTTCCCTCAACTTCTTTATTGATTCAGTGACGCCCTTCAATCCACATCTCCCAAGTTGAATTTTTTTAAAACAAAAGCTAATGAAAGAAAATCCCGAGTAGTTCCCTGCTCCCTTAAAGTTCTTTGCTTATATGCTCCAATTATGTTGAGATATTTTTAGGTGATCTTGCCTCCCAGTTTGCAAAAGCGTGTGGATGCTTATCTTGTGGAATACATTTCTGGAAAGCATAAGAGCATGGATGTGTTTTCAAGAACAAGCAGTAATGCCAGTATTGCCACCGAAGAGAGCTTGTTTGAGCAACCGGAGACACTTCCACAAAATAATGCTGTCCTGGAGAAAATTTTGTGCACAAGAAGTTTGCAAATGCGTAATGAGAAACACACTTGGCAGGTGCAGTTATCTCTACAGATTGATTAAATGATTTGTATTCACAGTTCATATTTATGCACACTGTATTTTAGAGCTCCTGGAGTTGGATGGATCCCTTTAAATAACTTTTTGTTTCCGTATTTTTGTAATAACAGAAAATTGATTTTTTGAAATTCGGGTTTAGGATGTACATGACGTGGGACATTAGGATTTGAATCAACAATTGAAGTATTACGTTAAGAACCACCAAATCTTTGTGATGATTTCCATTAAGAAAAATGACTCAGTTTTTTTTCTGTTTCAAGTCATGAAAAAAATTCAAATAATACTGGATTTTGATTTAGTCCTCAGTACAGGATCTCTCAAGAAACTGGTTCTTGAATATGTAAAGAATAATTTCGTTCTCTTGGTGTTCTAATAGTGACTTAACTTTATGTTTTAATCACTTCGCATGGTTTCTGGTCTTATTAGTTGTCTATATGTAATCCAGTAATGTTGAATTTTCCCATTTAGTATCTTGTTACAGTAGTTTCCTGAGTTTGTCTTTGTTATAAAAAGTGGTACATACCATTTATCATCATAAAATTCGTCACATTCTTACAGGAATCCCCCGAAGGAAGAAAGATGATGGACTTCCGTAGTAGACTCCCCGCTTATAAGGAGAAAGATGCTATATTAAGTGCCATTTCACGGAACCAGGTATTTCAGAATTTGAGGCATTTTGCCTAGGTGATTATTGCTTCGATCTAGTATGCTCTTCATATCAGTTATTTTGTTTTTGTATGATGAACTGTCAGAATGATGTTCTCTTTGTGTTGTTTCATGTACGCTTATTTGGCTAATCAATTCAACTTACTCTGACTATTATAGCTGCAATCCTTGGTTTTGATTGTTGTCTTAGTTATTTTAAGATCATGCGCAAAAAGTAATTTTTAGAAGCCTATGTGGAAAACATTTCCATGACAAGATTATTAATGTTTCCCATTTTCATTCTCTGGTTCCTACAATATTCTGAACACTATCATTCTTCTAAGCTAATAAATAAAGTACTTCTCAATTTCTCTGAACTTTAAAGTTCGAGTCACAATATTTCCACATAAAAAAATCGCTCTTTACACCACCATACTAAGTACAGCACCATTTTTTATTTCAAATACTCAATTCACCATCCCATATCCCTATTTGACCTATTTCTCAAATTAATTTTATAGAAATGATCTTATGCCTCAAAAATCTCTTTACACCACCAAATCTTTCCATAATCATCTTGATTTCTCATCCTTTTATACAGTTTCTCATTTCTTCAGCAATTGGGAGGAGGATTTATGAGTCAGACTCCAACACTTTGTTATTTCGCCAGCAAAACACAATATTACCTAGGAAGGAGGATTTAAGACTCTAGGGCTTAGACTTCAACAATATATGTGGAGAAAACCAACAAAATAAGTTTTTGATTCCTCCATTGTAATTTGTGTGAAAATTTGGTGTTTTCGGTCCAAAGAATGAGTTTAAATATTGGTGGTTGTCCACCACTTTTATTTTAGGTAAATGTCCAAAAACAATATGTCCAAACTCGATGTATACCTTTGGAGAATATTTAACTTGTTTCGTTGATATCCTCCAAAAAGTTTTACAAACTTTGAATGCCCAGGCAGTGCTTACCAATCTAAAAGGTAGACAAGTTTCGGTTGTTGACTACTGAAATTTTGTCAAGAAATCAGATTGAACAGGCCGAGTTCGCCAGATTTTTTATTTATTAAGAAGAAACGACGAAGTAGGCAGAAATTCAGTAAAATGTACGTCATTATAATTATTTTTAGCATTTTCTTAACTAGTATTGCCAAAACAAAAATGGCCTTATTAAATGGTCATACAACACAGGCATCCAACCTCTGACCAGACCCTACTATGGGGATTGGGAGAGGCTCCAATATCCCTAAGGCTGCCTTAGTGATTCACAAGTATTCTCCTTTGTTTCCATACTCGGTAATATCTTTAAGTTTTTGGGAAGACTCGAGTTTTGGATTAATGGATTTTCTATGGAAAAAGCGATGAGTTCGTGTGGGAAATTAAAGTGTTTGAGAAATAGTTTTATTACAAATAACTATTGAAACTGAACAAGAATCCCTCCCTGTAAAATCTCAATTAACGTGATTGCTAATGACAGTTTTATAAACAATATGGAGGATTAAGTTTCTCCTCTCAGTATTAGTTTTAATGTCACTATTGCTGAACAGAATTGTGGCCTTTTTAGGTTGTCATCATCTCTGGTGAAACTGGTTGCGGGAAGACAACTCAGATTCCCCAATTTATTTTGGACTCTGAGATAGATTCTATGCATGGGGCGATGTGCAATATTATATGTACTCAGCCCAGAAGAATATCTGCCATATCTGTATCTGAGAGGATTGCCACAGAGAGGGGGGAGAAGCTGGGGGAAACAGTGAGTCTATGATAATTACATCTTTTAATGAATTTTATATTATAACAGACTAATAGTACCTCCCTTGCTATTGTAATCTTCTTTAAAGGTTGGATATAAAGTTCGGCTAGAAGGTATGAAAGGAAGGGATACCCACCTACTCTTTTGCACAACTGGCATCCTCTTACGCAGACTATTAGTTGATAGAAACTTAAAGGGTGTAACACATATTATCGTGGATGAAATTCACGAACGTGGGATAAATGAAGGTATTCTTTTTTGTATTAATTAACTGAAATCATTAGACATGGTAAAACCTCATCGTTAACTTCTTTGTATGGATGTTTGCAGACTTTCTGTTGATTGTGCTGAAAGATCTTCTTCCCCGTCGACCAGAATTAAGGCTTATTTTGATGAGTGCAACCTTAGATGCAGATCTCTTCTCATCATACTTTGGTGGGGTTCCAATGGTCCAAATTCCTGTGGGTATCTGATTTTATCGCTCTAGTCTATAAATTCTACACTCGGATCTCATTATTGCTCCAGATATTATTTGCTTCTTTCCTCCATTTAGTTAGTGAACATGGCCATTTTTCCTAAAATATTGGTTGGGCAGTATTATGCCCTTTCTAAGCTGTGAAGGTTCTGAAAGTTGGGAGGTCGTATATGTATATCATTTTGGTTTTGAGAAGAATTTGTCAGCTATCAAAGGTGCCTTGACCTAAATCTCTAAATAATAAAAAGCAATTGGCCCAATGTTACCAACTTTACGAGAAACTCTGTACTTATGGTGGATAGACTTGAGATTTGAGAAAAAAAGATAATAATAGAAGTTGATGCTTCAACTATTGAGGACAACTTGGGGAATGTGTTTGTGGATGTAAATTGTATCTATGATATCTCTAGATTATTTTGTTTTAATTCTTATGGAATTTTAAAGCAACAATTTGATTGCTCTTGGATGCCAGTAGAGCGAACTTCTCTTAAAAAATCACCAGTTGTCTGGTGTGCAAAATTTAGATTATGCAGCTGTAACTCCAGTTTATTGGGAGTTTCGAGTTGGTCATGTGCTGCTAATACTATTTTTGAGAAAGTCTGGGTTGCAATTTTCACTGTAAAATTCTTGTTGAAGTGTGATGTGATATAGGGGTGCGTACTACATACGTATGTTACAGTATCTTGTTGTTTAGTAATGACAATAAATCTTCTCTGAAGTCTATTAAGTAGTTTACATTTTATTTGCAGTCACTGCCAACAATTATATTCTTTTTGTCATTAGTTTTTTCTTGTGAGTTGTAGAATAGATTCTTTTCTGAGGAATTTGTACGACAACTTATATAGATATAGCTACAAAGGGCTCTTTGTGTTTTACTTATCTATTACAAACTCAGCTTTTAGGAAGAACTCCTATTTAATTAGTTCTGAAGTTAAATCCTTGTCCAATCTGTTGATTTAGGGTTTTACTTATCCGGTACGGACTCATTTCTTAGAAAGTATTTTGGAGGCAACAGGATACCAGTTGACCCCTTACAATCAAATAGATGATTACGGTGTGGAGAAGACGTGGAAGATGAGCAAACAAGGACCAAAAAAGAGAAAGAGTCAAATTGCTACTGCAGTAGAGGTAATCCATTCTATCTGTTACTTTGTCAATGTTCTAAGTTCATGTTGATACAATAATATATACATATTCCTTGAAAATGAATCAGGAGACACTTAATGCTGCTGACTTCAATGACTACTCTGTTCGGACAAGGGAGTCTTTGTCTTACTGGAATCCTGATTGTCTTGGTTTCAACCTCATAGAATATCTTCTATACAATATATGTGAAAATGAAAAGCCTGGTGCTGTTTTAGTTTTTATGACTGGGTGGGATGACATAACATCTCTGAAAGATAAGCTTCAAGCTCATCATGTACTAGGTGATGCAAATCGGGTTTTATTATTGGCATGCCATGGCTCAATGGGGAGTGCAGAACAGGTGATTGCGATGTTACGTTTTGATTGTCTCCGTTGTTGTTATGTTGGTATTACAGTCTGTCATTGTGAATGTTATCAATTGGTTTATTTGGTTCATTTATTTTCTGCCCATATAGAATTGCTTTATTTTCTAACATGAACTTGTGGTCTAGATTTCTGCCCTCTCAGCAATCCTTGTTTGTTGTGGTCCTTCAGATTTTTCCATTAACTCGTGTAATCACCTACACTGCTTAATCTGGCATGGTTCTCCCTTATTGACTTTGATCACGACTTAATCTTGTATTGTTAATTTATGGTTTTATTACTGGCATGCCATGGTTGATGGCTCTATAGGCAGTACAGAAGCCAGAGCGGGTGATTGGGATATCACTCGTCGGTTGTCTTTAGGTTTGGTACATTGGTATTACTGCCTGTCATTGTGAATGTTATCAATATGTTTATTGTGGTTCATGTAATATCTGCACATCTGGTATTGCTTTGTTTCTAAAATTGAACTTGTGGTCTCTATTTCTTCCCTCACCAACCCATGTTTGTCGCAGTCCTTCAATTTTTCTTATTAACTGGTGAAATCATTTCCACTGATTAATCTGGTATGGTCTCACAAATTTTCTTTCATCACTACAGCTTTAGATTTTCTTTTTCCTCCACCAGGAGCAGATTCCCAGAGGAAAACGGAATATTCAAATGATTTACAGTTACATTTTGTCGTTCAACGTTGTTTTTAATGATTGTTGTCATGACTGATGTGGCCTTTTAGTATCAAAGAACTTATTCCTCGTGGTATTCACTAACAGATATGAGATATGTGATTACCAAATTTGCTTGGCCAATTATGAGAAATATATATGTTTAGACTAAGCGACCTATTTAGATAAGTGTCGCCTGCTTGTTCCTTTTAAAGAAGCAAAAATTCCATCTAGTTTCTGAATCTAATATTTGAATGCATATTCACATTTACACCCTCCAACATGTGCTCTACTGGGCATTTAAATTTGCTATACACTTACTTAAAACAGTCTTTTAGATTACTCTTTTCTTGAAAATAGAAATCAGGACCTTTTGTTTGCTCTCTCTCTTTCTCTCTCTCTGTTTTTTCCTCGAGTAAGTATGGAAGACAAAGTATATCATTTCATTGCTTCATGATATGTCTTGTTTAACTGTTCTACTAATGATATGCATTTGCATGCAAATACATTTATTTCTCATGTGTTTTTTTGCTTACTTCATCTTTATCTTCTATTATTGCAGAAATTGATTTTTGACAATCCTGGATATGGGATAAGGAAGATTGTTCTAGCTACAAACATTGCTGAAACCAGCATCACTATTGACGACGTAGTTTTTGTTATTGACTGCGGGAAGGCAAAGGAGACATCATATGATGCGTTAAATAACACTCCTTGTTTGCTTCCGTCCTGGATCTCAAAGGTTTCAGCTAAGCAAGTACGTAACACTCAGCTTAAGTTCCTTGTTTAGTCACGGGACTTAGCAGCTTCTTGTTGTTTTTTCTAACATTTAAATTGTTTTTGACCTTATTCTTTAATTTCTATCTACTAATGCATTTTATTTTGTACAATGTGATCGAATAAAATATTATTCTAATAGCATATAGGGAGCACAGAAGATCTGAGTTTAATATTCTTTAGTTTTAGATGTTAGAAATTAACCAAAATGTGCTGATGGACAGTATCCGCACCATAATAAGTATATACGGACCTGTAATGAGATGTCTTATTCGTAATATTTTTTGGGTTGACCTACAAATATAGACGGACCAAAGTCTAACCTCGATGAGTTTTTTGCACTGTTATAACACAATCTCAAATGACCTTTAATAAGTGCATGATTTACCAGTATTTTAGTACCATTTGTGTTGGCATTTATCCTCTGTATTGATCTATCTCTCTCCGTTTGGTGTTTGTAAATAGAGAAGAGGAAGAGCTGGACGTGTTCAGCCAGGAGAATGCTACCATCTTTATCCAAGATGCGTATATGATGGTTTTGCAGATTATCAATTACCTGAAATTCTGAGAACTCCTCTACAGTCCCTCTGTTTGCAGATCAAGAGTTTAAACCTTGGGGGAATCTCTGAGTTCTTATCGAGGGCACTTCAATCACCAGAGTGTCTCGCGGTAATGCTCTCTCGGATATGCTGCGCTATTTTATCATCGATTTCATTTCACTGGGATGGATTTGATCTGCCCTGTGAAAACAGGACATTGTTTTTTTTATAAAAGAATCTTGAAGGAAGCCGATTTACAAGTTCCATGTCAAATGAAGTCATAGCTTTACTTATTTCTATTGTAGGTTCAAAATGCTACCGAGTATCTAAAGATAATTGGGGCTTTAGATGAGAATGAGAACCTGACTGTTTTAGGCAAGTTAGAATGTTTTACTTTCTTATCCATTTTTTGGTTAATAAGGTTTATTCTCTCATATATTGCCTGATTTCATTTACAGGGCGCTACTTGACAATGCTGCCCATGGAGCCGAAACTTGGGAAAATGCTTTTACTTGGTGTCATATTTAATTGCTTGGACCCAATATTAAGTGTTGTTGCTGGTCTAAGTGTCCGTGATCCCTTTTTAGCTCCATATGACAAGAAGGACGTAAGAAACACTCTAGAATCAACTATTATTTTATGATTGCATATACATTAATTCTCCTAGGACATTCATCATCATGCATCAAGTTTTCCATCTAAATTTGCCAGCAATCATATTAATATTCACAGTTGTTCTCAAAATTCACATGCCTAATTCCAGGACTTGACTGATAATGCCTACCATGAATTCTTATTTTTCATACTCAAGGCTCTATTGGTCAGGTTCCCTTTTAGGCCTTTATGTACAGAAAAGAGCAAGGCACACATAGTGTGGCTTGCTAAGAATTTCCTTTTCAATTTGCTCTCTTTATACTATACATATTAATTTATATACGTTTCCGAAGTTTATTAGTCGTATTGTTGTGCCAATGCATCATACTACAATGGACTTTACTGTATATCATGTATTATTTTTTTGCTGAAAAATGTCAAGGGCAGGTGGCTTTTGTGATAGTAAAGGAACATCTGTGTTCTACCGTCAGTAGCACTGCCTCTTTTGCCATTTTGTTTGGTCTTGTTTTATACTGTATTTGGATGTTTTATTTATTTCTTGGTGTATGTGCCTAGAAGTTATGAAACTAATTGATTTAGTTAATATTTATCTAAAAGATTGGAAAACTCACTTCATTCTCACGAGCCTCCTGTATTGCCTTGTGAACCTGTGGGAGCTTTTGGTCTCAGACTAACACTTTATTGCCTCCACACACACACACACACACACTGGATGAAATATTTTGCATACTTACTGACATTGCTTGCAGAAAGTGGCTTCTTTTGGTAATAATTTTCTTCTTTGACTCAATGCTTTGATGATGTTCAATTTTTTAAGAAATCTGAGCAACTGTTTTATATATTCTTGGTTTAGCACCAAAGGCCATCAAAACGAGTAGCTTGTCTATATATTCTGCCAAAACACCCTAAACTAAACCAAACCTACTCGGAGGTTTTGGAAATTTGATGCATGCTTTTCAGTAAGACACTACTTGAAAAGTGAAAATCGAACTGCATTTTCCTGTCTGAAAAGCACGAGGAAATTGTATTGCTAAGAGGCATTAGATGGTGACTTCAGAATGCTGCAAAATTTGTCTTGCATACATATTTATGATTGTTCTGCCTTTGGCATTCATGAACCAGAAACACATTTTCTTTATATGTTAGTTACTAATGAATATGGAAAAGTTCAATGGAGGTCTCAGGTCTAATGAGAGCTCCCTCTTATTGTGTATTGACGAAATTACATCTACAATTACAAGTAACGCATTAAATTTTCTGTTATAGCTAGCAGAAGCGGCAAAGGCACGGTTTTCACTAGATTGCAGTGACCATCTTGCTCTTGTTCGGGCTTATGAAGGCTGGAAAGTTGCTGATAGAGATCTATCCGCATATGAATATTGCTGGCAAAATTTCCTGTCTGTACAGTCTATGAAAGCTATTGATTCTCTTCGTAAGGAGTTCTACTCTTTGCTAAAAGATACAGGTCTAGTCGATATCAACCCAGCCACTTACAGTGTCTGGAGCTATGATGAGCATCTCGTGCGTTCAATTATTTGTTATGGCTTGTATCCTGGAATTTGTTCTGTTGTGGTAAGAATCATTAGATTATTAGCCGTACAAAGTTTATTAGTAGAATCAATAACATGGTATTGAACTTTGGTTTAAACTCTATGACAGCACAATGAAAAATCCTTTTCCCTGAAAACAATGGAAGATGGAATTGTGCTTCTATACTCTGTAAGTGTTCCAATAGCTTAATGTCTTTCAAGTGCCTTTTGAGATTGAAGATTTATATATTTATGGTTTCTTTTATATCACTTAGAACTCAGTGAACGCACGCCACCCAAGAATACCATATCCATGGCTCGCTTTTAACGAAAAAATCAAAGTAAACTCTGTCTTTTTGCGGGATTCAACCGCTGTGTCTGATTCAATGCTGCTCCTATTTGGTGGAAGCATCACGAAAGGGGAGATGGTATACTTCTCAATCTGCGTACTTTATTTTCTTGCTTTAAGTTCAGTTTCAAAAATATGTCCTTATCGAGATTACGATGGTGGGACGTGGCTTATGAATATCATATGCTGATGTGACTTGTTCTATAATTTCACAGGATGGACACCTAAAAATGTTGGGTGGATACTTGGAGTTTTATATGGATCCGACAACAGCTGAATTGTACCAGAGTTTGAGGAGAGAGCTTGATGAATTAATTCAAGTCAAAGTGAGTGAAATGAATTGAAACCATCTACCAGGCCTAGCTGTTCGTTTATATTCTAGGTTATAATTGAAATCTGGTATTTGTTTTTTCATTTTCTTTATAATTTTGTTGGGTTCTACTATGGGCAGCTCCTAAATCCCACGATGGGCATACACTCTTACCACGCGCTTATGTCAGCAATACGTCTGCTAATCTCAGAAGATCGGTCTGCTGGCAAATTTGTGTTCAACCGTCAGTTACTAGACCCTTCCAAACAACCAATCATTGCACAAGAATCAACCCTGATACAGAACCGGGAAAGTGGGCCAGGAGGTGATAACGCCAAGGGCCAGCTACAGACATTACTAACTCGAGCAGGCTATGCTCTACCCAGCTACAAGACCAAGCAGCTTACAAACAAACAGTTCCAAACAAGTCTGGAATTAAACGGCATGCTGATAACGGGGCAGCCATGCAGCAACAAGAAGCAAGCAGAAAAAGAAGCAGCAGCTGCCGCTCTGCAGTGGCTGCTCGGTGCACACGGAGCTGGAGCTGCTGTAGCTGGTCCTGATTATATTGACCAAATGTCCTTATTGCTCAAGAAAAGCAAGAAAGATCACACATGAACTTGGAAGTAGTATTATCTCGATATACGGCTTAAATAGCCGTATATTCCCTCACAATGGTTACGAAGCATATTTTACTATTTTCTCATTATTTGCGTGCTTCTGAGCTGAACGTAATTTTTGACCCAGAGGAATCGGGCCCTAGATCCGGGTTAGGCTTTGGTCGGACTATGAATATGATGGCCTCGTGTTGGCTTAGGTTTATCGAGTCCTTACTTAACCTGGGAAGAGTAGAACCTCTCCGGAAATATCGACAAACTGGTGTAAGAAAGGAAGATTGCTCTCTACCCTACTAATCCAATTCATCCTCCCCTATTTTCTGTATATAGTAAATTATTTTAGCTTGAAGATGATCGTAAACGCTTATACGCGTGCAAAACGCTTACGAATGGTGGTATTGTTGTATTTTACTTATTATTATTTGGGCATGTATTGGATTCTGGCAAAGTGAAGGAACACTGAATATTAGTCAGTTACTGACATCTGAGTTACCATTTGAAATTTGAAATGTTGTAATATATCATTTTTACGTGTGATATCTAGATAATGATATGTCAGAAGATTTGATATTTTTCCAAAATCATTGGGGGGGTACGTAGTACGTACCTACGTACTGAGATAGAGAGAGAAGCCCATGTACGTACGGTGGCCCATTCATTAAACCTCTGTCTTGATGGGCCGTTGCAAAAGGTCAACCTTAAATTTTTGGGGGCATTGACGTTAATTTATTTATTTATTTGTTTATGGAGTAGTAATTAATTTGATTGCGCTGTATTATTTATTTATAATTGTTTCTTAGAAAAGAAGTATTTGTTGTGTGACAGGTGAGTCAGAGTTGGGAACATTTGAGGGGTTTTTCTATTCAAAGTATATTACTAGTGGGAAGAAATTTGGGAATAAAATAAAAAATAAAAGTATTAAAGAAATGGAGTGGGAGTGAGTAATTAATAAATTGATTGTCCTCGAAAAGCGACATTGATCTATCTGGCTGTCGGGACCATGCAAATTGATTAGGTAAATAATGTTGAGAGGAATCGAATCTCACTCCTCTATATGAATTCGAGACATCTTCCCAATTTATATGCTTCTCCTTCCTCTCCTCAAATCCCACTACAAAAAATTATATTCCCCCCCCCCCCCCCCCTTTCTTTTAATTATTATTATTATTATTATTATTATTATTATTATTATTATTATTATTATTATTATTATTATTATTATTATTATTATTATTATTATTATTATTATTATTATTATTATTATTATTATTATTATTATTATTATTATTATTATTATTATTATTATTTTTAATATTTATTATATTCATTTTTTGAGCTTGATTTAAATGAAAAGGGAGATTGAACCATTACATGAAATGTATAATAGGTAAATATCCTACCATTTAAATATCGGACTTGCTATTCGCAGCGGATATAGTACTAGGTCACAGCATGATTTTAGTCATTTTTTTCAAATCCTCTAAAAAAATTTATAATTCTCTCTACTTTAATTTTTCTTTAAATTTTGTAAAAAGTGAAACACATTATGATAATATTCAAAGAACAACAACAATTGTCTGAATGGCCGATTCAGATTTTGATTGTGAGAAAAAAAATCAGTTGTTCATATTTTTTCAGCAAACTTGAGTTGTTTCGTGCTGTTGAACACAAAATTATAAAGTATAAAGTAAAAAGTAAAAAAAAAATCGTGTTCTACGACACGAAAATATGTTTCATGATGTACAACACCAAACACAATCACAAACTTCATGTTCTAGAGCACTAAACTCACCCAACTTTTTTTTTGAACTCCAAATCCCTATAACCTAATCTTAAACAATGATTTGCTATTTAAATCGTAGATAAATGTATTCAAAGGTATCCATAAATCACTAGTCGTAAGTGCCGGATTGAATGCCAGAGTTTGAATTCATTATTTTGAATGTTTGAGAAAGTGTTAAGATTTTTTAGAGAATTTTGAAGTTTAAAAGTTTAACATGATCGAAATCCCACTACAACTAGTAAAAACTCCACCGCAAAGGAATTAGCATTCAATGTACGTCTATCATGCCATAAACCTAAAATACTATTCATCGACCGAATTGATTGCGTAAAATCTTCTTGATTGATGTACAATTGCACACAAAACTTAACTTAAATTGAAAATTAATGGTAAAAGATGATGCAATTATGGAAAAAATGGGGTACTATATAGTAGGGCATAATTATGAAGAAAAAAGAAAAAAATTTGCAAGAATTATTCTCACAACGTTATTGTCAGGATTATGTTTCATTAAGGTACACATGTCTTTTAACTATTACCATCATCAAAATAAAATGGTGCAAAAATATAAATAAGGAAGAAACACACATTGACCTAAATCCAACAAAGAGGTGACACAATATTTTGTCAAGACGCCGTGTGTTTGCTGTGATGTTTGCTTAAAGTTAGTGTCACGCATTTAATTTTCTTTCTTTTCTTTTTTCAATTGAAATGACACTAAAGTTTTTTAGGGGACCCTTTTTTTAATTTGGCGTTTATTTTTTATTTTTTAATTGAATAGATGAAATAAATGGATCTTTGGCTAGTGTACAACAAACCCTACGTACCCTTATAATAATAATAATTTTATAATTTTTAATTATTTCAAGTTGATGTTGGATCTTAGATTTGTGATTTCAATGAAATACATTAAAATTAAGTATGGTCGAATCCCAAGAACCATAATGAGGTTTGGAGATCTTGTCATGTGGCAACTATATAGTATATATGATAAATTACGGTCAACTCTTATGGTAATGTCGAATTACGAAAATCTCCTCTTGGTTGGGTAATTACAATCACCCTTGTACTATATATTATCTTATACTTCTACCTTCATAATGTCAAATTTAGCTACTGAATAATGGTTTTTTCGTAAGACAGTAAATAGTTGAGCGATAGTTATAATTAACCAAACATAAGTTAATTTTTTTTTTTAATTTGACATTACTTCAGAAAGTGGCCGTAATTTACCCTAGGCTATATACTAGATGGGCTTTTTGGTCATTTTCATTTTAAATACAATTCAGTCCCCATTTTCTTCTCCTTATTTTATTTGGCGGAAACAATTTTTGGAGCTATAAGATTCAGTCCCCATAGATTCACTTTGTTCGACGGAAAGTGAATTATTTGTTACCTTATGCTGGCTCTCCCACTGTTTCTTTACCGTTTCCTATTGTAATTCAAATTTGTTACATTTTGGAAACCGGTGAAAATATCAGATTAATTTTTTTTAATTGATTTCTCATGGTATGAAAAAAATATATACATGTTTTTTTTTCAATTTCGTTTTCGTTTTCCTTCTATTCCTTTGCCAAATTATAGGTAGACAAGTACTTTCAGGTTGAGATATGATTAGCTACATGTTAACCTCAATCTCTTCTGCCATTAATTGTCATTTGAAGACAATTATTTCATGTACTTATTCAGTCAACCATATCCATGTTTAAGATATACCCCCAAAAAAAAAAAAAAAAAAAAAAAAAAAAAAAACACACATATCTGATTAACATCACATGTGAATATTAATTTTTTGCCCTAGAAAAAGTTGTAATAATAGTAATATCCCTGTGTTTCTCATTAACTTGTTCCTTTTCTATTAAGTTGCAATAATATAGTAGTAGCTTTTAATCAATTAGTACACAATGTAATTTATGTATGCATAAAATCCTAGGCTTCGAAGACCATGTCATAAGTAATAGTATCTTTTATAGACACTCGTATGTAGTGGTGGAGTCAGTACATGGTTAGGGGGGCATGACCCCCAACATTTCTCAAATCTATACTAGTTTATATACAAATATATGTTTTTGTGTACAATAGTATTGACGGTCTCCCTTTAATTTATTTTAATGTATTTGGCCCCTCAAACTTAAAATATTGGTTCCGGTAATGCTCGTATATACTAAGTATCCTTATGAAAAAAATGGAATTAATGTACTACCCTAGGCTTCGAATACAATGTCATAAATAATACTCCGTTCGTTCATAATTACTAGTCGTTTTTTTAGTTTTGCACAAGTATTAAAAATGTCAATAAACGTGTCTTGATTTTAGAAAACACACTACAAAGACTAAAATAATCTTGATCATTTAATAATGTGAAAAAAAAATTGATACTTAGAGTCTAATTAATAAAATTAAATAATGCAGTATTGTAAATCTAAAACAATAGATAATATATAACAAAAAATATTATAATTTATAAGTACTTGCATGAAGTATCCTTATCAACAAAATGGGGATAATTTGTTTTTGGTGTGTTGATGAATAAAGAATTGTCTCATGTTCAGATGAATTTGGTCGTTGCTTTCATTGTATTCTCTCTCTCACATGCCTTTTTAGTTTTTATAGTTTATAAAATTTGTTTTGGGTCCATTTACACTCAAAAGTTCAACTCTTGAGGCATTTATTTTTCCTTTTTTGAATGGATAAATTACAACAATCTCCCTCGGGAAAATCTATTTATGAAAAATCTCTCATTTTTGTGAAATTATATTTATTCCCGTAGTTTGTAATTTCTTACATTCAACCCCAATAAAAGGATGTTGTTAATGTAAGAAATCTACAAATTTCAGGGATGAATGTAATTATAAGAAAATGAGGGGTTTCTTTGTTAATAGACCTTACTTTTGGGGACAATTGTAATTAACCCTTCTTGAAAATATGCAACTTCAGAGGGTTTATGGCTTTATGCCCCCCTGATTAAGAAAAACAAAAAGTATTTTATGTTAATAATATTACGTAATTATGAATTTTGGCCCTTACTCTTTTTGATCTTCTCCATACTCTTCTTATGTCACTCTTATTTATTTTTCCATATTTTATTGTAATATAAATCCGTGACGACGATTCATAAACTTTCGAATATATTATCTGCAATGATCGATAAATATATGACGAGTTTTAGTATGCACACCAATTTATCTTCTCTCTAACACTCCCATTCTAAAAGGAATTCCTACAATTGTGTTGCATGTATTGTTGTTGAAATTGAAAATTGAAAAATAGAATTTTTTTAAAGAAATTTTTATCTAAATACCTAATGAGTTAGCATTTTGATGCTCAACTTCCTGTAGATGCTAACATTGTCGTCTATTCTTATTCCGCTTAACCCAAACACGAAAAAAAAAATCGAATAATATCAAGAGATCTAGAGGTTTTGAACTGATATTGATAATAAGAAAGAAACAAAGAAGAAAAACTAAATAATAATAATAATAATAATAATAATAATAATAATAATAATAAATTGGTGATAATGAATATATTCCATGAAATTATTGATTATTCTTCCATCATCATTCATCACTAAGGTGAATATCTTTACCAAATTACCCTACCACCCGGTTGGCATATCAATCCATTCCTTTTCTTTGCCCTACCAATGTTCTATGATTTTCTAATGGGAATTTTAATTTATAATGGTAAAATAATAAAATTGCACCGTATTAATTTTGTATAAGGTATTCAATTAATCAATTCCATCATA